TTGTTTATCAAATTTAAATTAATTTGATTAATGTTTGTTGATTTAATAAAATTTTATTTTGAAATAGTTGGATACTTTTATTTTTAAGAAAAAATCTCTAATGAGATGCACACTAATTAATAATTAACAATTTTGTTGAAGGTCTTGTAGAAATTTGAATTAAATGAAATTAAATTTATGTGATCGAAAAGAATTATCTTTAGCCTAAATAGGTAAGATTTAGATGAAATTATTTAGATGAATTTTTTTAAAAATGATTCAATTAAAATTTCAATAAAAAACTCAAACCAATAAATTAATAAAATTAAATGATAAGATTAATAATATGTAAAAAATTAAAAATAAAAATAAAAATACCATTTATAACTCAAATTTAATTAGTACTTAATCAATGATAAAATACTAAAATTCTATCAAAATTTTTAGTAAAAATACTTATCTAAAAATGTATCAAAATTAAAAAATTTTAAACATTACATACTTAATTTATCTAAAAAAAATCTTTATATCTATTCATTTGGATTTTATATTTTAATTTTTATTTAATCATTTTAATAAAAAATTCATAAATTTTATCTAAATTATTTTATCAAAAATTTTCTCATCTATATATATATATACACACACACACACACACACACACACACACAAATAAACCAAAAAGTTGCTGGATTTTTAGGCTTTTAAGTCATAGCCAAATTAAGATACATTGATTAATATGTTAATCAGTCAAAGCCAAATTAGACTAGCTAAGAGCAAACAATGAAAAAGGGCAAGACAATTATGAGTAGATATGAACAAACTTGTACAAAACAAAAACCTTGATTAAACTTATGTTTAATGTGCATGATTCAAAATTTTATAGTCTTAAAGGCTAAGTTTAAAGGGCCCATAATATGATTTAGTCAACATTCAACTTGATTAGATTGATTAAATTTTGCTTAATTATTCTTATATAGTCAGCAAACACTAATACCATTTTATCTTTCACCTCCATTTGGCTTGTGCACAAGCCACAAAGCTTTTTCTAGGCCATTGGCGCCTACCAAACGCACCAAAAATTTCTATATAAATTTTTAAAAAGAAATTTTTATTTTTTTAAGAAATAAATAAAGGATAAGTCACATCATTTGAGCACGTGTGGAAATATTGACCTTTTGGTCTTCTAAAATTTATGAAACTAGAGTTTTTGTCTAATTAAACTACCACAATCTCCTCACACCAAATTAAAATTGTGAGTTTGTCAATACTATTTAATTTTTAATAATTTTAAACAAAAAAATTATGGGACTTTTTTCTTACAAAATCATAATTCATTCTAAATACAATTGAATTTTTTATTTCATATTATTTTAAAATCATTATGAATTATTATGATGAGAAAATTATTAAAGTATTTTGATTTTAGATGATTTTAAATTATTGCATTTGATATTATATAAAAAAATAAATCATAAAATATAAATATCTAAAATAATATTTTTAAAAAATTTAATAGATAAAATATAAAATATTCAAAATAATCTTAAAAAAATAAATAAATAAAGGAGAAGCCACATCATTTGAGCACGTGTGGAAAATATTGAGCTTTTGATCTTCTAAAATTTCTGAATCAAGAGTTTTTGTCTAATTAAACTTCTACGGTCTCCTCACACCAAATTAAATTTATGAGTTTGTCAATAATATATTAATATTAATATTTTGATTTTAGATAATTTTAAATAAAAAATTATGAAATTATTTTAAATTCCATAAAAACCAATACTAACCAAATAAATTAGGACAAAAGAAGAATAATTTTATGTACCAACGAAAATTTTTTTTTGTGAGAATATTTTGGTATCATTATGAGAAATTGTATTTTTAAAATCGTTCAAATATAAGATTAAGCTTAAATTCTACCAGGGCCAAGGTTTTTCTCCAAAAAATAAAAAATGACCCTTGTTTCACTTTTTAGAAAAATAAAATATAACCCTCTCAATTTTATTTTTTTGATTTTTTTTATCTAAGACTTTTCAATGTTCAATAGTCACTTGGGATCTTGATTAATCCGAAATTAAATTGGATTGAACCTCATAAAAAGATAAGTTTTCTTGAACCTGTTTTTTCATTCACAAGACTCAAAATTAAAATTTTATTTTAAAAAAATCGAATTTCTTATCGTTCAGATCAACAAGCGTTGATTAATTTTATTTTTATGTTTACACTTTGCAATGCCACCGGAATTGTTGAATTTAAACATTTTAGCTTAGTGAAGTTTTATATATATAACAATAACCATTTAAATTTTGTAAAAAAAAAAATTTGTTTGATCAAGTTTAGGCTTGCGATTGTTCAATGTTATTCGTACATAATAAGGAATATAATCATGATTTTCAATGTTAAAGAAATGGAGTTTGATAAAAACTTTGACCAATGTCACTTTAATTTTAAAAATAATTATATAATTCAATTAAATTAAATTTTAGATTTCATGTGAAACTAATTCCGTCGTAGAAAAAAATACTTCCATGATCCGATCTGCAGTAGCTTTTGGAAAAAAAAAAATGGTTGCTCATGGGCAGCAACGACTTAATTCCTTTTGAAATTTGGGAGCAAAGACCAAGAAAATATTGAGTGATAGCAAACAAGTCAAAAATGGAAAATAAGGAACTTAAGGAGAAAAAAATAACCCACATTCTTAATTTTCAAATTTTTATTTAGATTTAGACGACTTGACCTATCACTCAATTTTATTCCAACCCATGCTTTGGAAATTTTTTAACCCTCAAGTTAAGCATTTTTTTTTTTTTTGGGAAAAAAATATTGAATTGTTGATGAAAATGGTTAATAGAAGTAATTGAAGAGGGTAAGCATTTGTTCCTGGTAATAGGGTAAGATGTTAGATTCTTTAACATCTAAAATAAAATTGAGTTTGTTTTAGAATGATTTTTTAATTTTGTAAATGAAATTAAGAGATTGTGTTATCTCTAATTTCTTTTTAGTTTTTAATTTTTTTTTCTTTTTTAATATAATTTTAGAACGTTGAAATTCTTTTTTTAATTTTTAATTTAATTTTGTAATTTTTATATTTGTTTGATTGAGAAAAATATTACATGCATAAATTTTTTTAAATTCATAATTTTTAAATACTAATTTTAATAACATATAATTGATCTAGGCTTGAAATTCTATTCAAAGCATTTTTTTTTTTTTTTTCAAGAGGAACGGAGCCTGCAATAAGAGAGGAAGGGGAGAAAACCTCAGCCTGAAGACTATTCAGAGCATGTTAAATACAGTCATTTCCAATAATTTTTTTTGACATGAAGCAAAGGAATGGGCCTCCTATAAAGAGCCTGAAGTCTAGTATAGAGCAAATAAACTTCGCCCGAATTTGAGCAGCAAGTCTAATAAACAGACTTAAGTTTTAAATTCCCACTGCAAGGGAGAAAGCAGGCCTGCCAAATTTTGGGTTCTAACTTTTGTACTGTGTAAAATAAGGTTTTAAATAGGGCCGGTAATCTAATCTGTTTTTTTATGAATTTTGATCTGATTTTATGAGGTTAATTTTTTTTTAATTTAGATTTTGGGTCGGGTTGAATTTTAGATAAATCTGATTCGATTCGATATTAAATAAAAAATTATTTTTTAATTAATTATTTAATTTTTTATTTATATATATTTATATAATGATATTTTAAAATATTTATATTTAAAAAATAATATTTTATTAATTTCGGATCGAATTAAAGTTCGTGTATGAAAAAATAAAAAAAATTCAAATAAAATCGAGTTTAAATTTAATAATACATAAAATCAGATCAGATTCAAAACGAGCTTAATTTTAAACTCCAAAAGTTGGAGTATGCCGTTAGACAGACAATTTGTGTCGTTTAAACGAAGAAATAGTAATTGTTGCTGGATTCGAATTTTTGGTAACCATATTGGATGGTTTTAATGTAGAGGACGGGAGACAGGAAACAGTATTTTTAAGGTCGACAATCTAATCCGAAATTGTGGTTGGTCTTATAAGATAAATTTTTAAAAATATTTATATTAAAAATTTTTTTATTAATTTTGAATTGAATTAAATTAAATTAATTATTATTTTATACATATATAAATCAAGTTAAATTTAAATATAAAAGTAATATTTTAATATTATTTTAAATTAAATTTAAATATTAAATATATAAAATTAAACCGAATTTGGAATGAATAAAAACCCATCCCTACTAAACGTGAATTATCATCTCTAATGTTTTGGAAATTATGGACGGACCCTTTACTATTTAAAATATGATATAATAATATAATATAAAAATAAAATAAATAAAAAGATATAAAAGTAATAAAATTTATAAATTAATTTAATAAAAATAAAAAATATATATTTTATATTTTTGTATCAATATATTATAATATTTAATTTTTATATAAAATATAATATAATTTTATGAATTATTATTATTTTACGTAATATAAATACATAAATTACGTGAGAGTCACGTCTGCAAAGGTTGACGCTGTTAAAGTAAAAGAATTTTAAGCTTGGTACTGCTAACTTATCATGCAAAAATTAGTATGGCCAATCTTAAAAACAGTGTTTTCTCCCCCTATTCGTACAATTATTGCTTTCCACATGTGTTATATATGCAAAAATTAGTATGGCCAATCTTAAAAACAGTGTTTTCATATAATTTTATTAAAATTTTAAATTACATTATATATATATTTTTAAATATAATTTCATATCATATTTAAAAATATCAACTTTGCCTCAAAGAAAAAAGAGAATGGATGAAAAAATAAAAGAAAAAAAAAAACATGGGCACAAGTCCAGCTAATGCCCAGTATTGCAACAGCATATTTCTCATTATCTATCCAAAAATCTACTTCTTCGTATAATTTTTATTAAAATTTTAAATTATATTATTTTTATATATTTTTTTATATCATATTTAAAATTATTAAATTTATGTTAAAAAAAACAAATCAAAAGCCCAATTAAAAGGTATCGCAGACAGCATATTCCTCATTATCCATCCAGAATTTTCCTCTCCCGTCCATTTATCGTAATCCAATCACCGCTAAAAAGCAACGGGGAAGAAAGGCCCTGAGACCCACCTTTACTCGGACAAAGGATAACGACGAATAAAATTGAAAACCCTAATTCCTAACTATTAAAACATATCAAAACCGTATCTCTTCCTATCTGCGCCGCCTCCATTTTCAGCTTTTGCCAAACACACAAAAAAGAAAAAAAGAAAATTTGAAACCCTGAAATGTCGGACGAGGAACACCATTTCGAATCCAAGGCTGATGCCGGTGCCTCCAAAACCTACCCTCAACAGGCTGGTACCATCCGTAAAAACGGCTACATCGTCATCAAGGCCCGTCCCTGCAAGGTCTTTCGTAATTTATTTGTTTCTCTGTAATTTATTTGTTTGGATATGTTTGATATTATTCTCAAAATAAACTGGGAATTGTCTTTTTTTTTTATTTAGGATTTTGATTTATTTATAATTTCTTGTTGATATTTTGATGGTTCAGATCTGTTGCTTTTTTGCTTAATTAATTTTAATGTTTCGATAATTGAAATCTATACAATTGTTGAAAAATTAAAAGAATTAAGAATCGAATATGATTTTGCATTTTTAATTTTTTTTTAACTTTTGATGAAGTAAAAGCAAATTAGGAAATGTAATAAAAAACAAACAACAATTAATCTTCTTATCATGAGCAATCTGATGACATGTATTGACATGTGATGAATTAGTGGTTGATGGGTTGACTGTTGATTCACACCGGATGGATTATTGCTATCTATTTAGGGCTAGTTTAGCATTCTGTTACGGTTGAAAAAAGTTTGGGTTGGAAAAGGTGCGTTTAAGAAGCGCGTTGAGAAAAGCGTGGTTAGAAATTTTAAGTGCTTGGTGTTGCTGTGAAAAAGTGTTGTGAGTAATTGAAATGTCTAAAAAGATATATAAAATAATAAAATATTAGAAATATAAGAATAATAAAGTGTTTTTTTATCTCAAACACATTTTTTTTTTGAGTTTTTTGTTAGGATACCAAGCTTTTAAACTGAAAAGCCAAAATTTTTTTGCTGTTTAGGATTGTGTCTGGGTCGAAAGCAGCTTTTGAATGCAAAAGTTATGTTCAACAGCAATGCTAAACAAGGTTTTACAATAATTTGCAATTTTAGCTCACTTGATTGTTGTTGTGTTGCGTGCCCCAGGTTGTTGAAGTTTCCACCTCCAAGACTGGGAAGCATGGTCATGCTAAGTGTCACTTTGTTGGAATTGACATTTTCACTGCTAAGAAGCTGGAAGATATTGTTCCCTCTTCCCACAACTGTGATGTATGAAATAACTTACTTCGCAAATTGTTATTGTTTTCTTATTCTCGGTTTTAACTTTAATTTGTTATGGCGTTAATGAATTTTTTTGTTTGTGTCTTAATAGGTTCCACATGTTAATCGTACTGACTATCAGTTGATTGACATTTCTGAGGATGGATTTGTAAGTTCATTTGCTTGTGTGCACTCCCGTATCTGTGCTTTTCTTCTTAACTGGTTAAACATTTCAGGTGAGTTTGCTGACTGAAAGTGGAGACACTAAAGATGATCTGAGGCTCCCAACTGATGACAACTTGTTGAAACAGGTCCTTTAACTACTTTTTATATTTTTTTTGACATATGGCTGATGGCTCTTTTCCTATTGAGTAGCCTTATTTGTTTTGGTAAAAAAGCAAGGTTTATATTTTATTGATTTCAAACTGTCTTTTTTTGATATCCTAGCCTCTTGACATGGTGATCCTGATTGAATCCCATATTCCTATGGTGGAATATAGTCCTTTTCTCATGTTTAAACAAGCTGAAACTGTTTGCTCTTCTGTTTTTATTCCGATGCTATTCAACTCTGCGATTCTCATTTTACCGTTTGCTTATATGTTTGCAAGTCTCATGATTAGTAATTGATGTGAGGTCAATATATATATATGTAATCGCTTTTCTGAATCGTCATACTGATAGTTATATTTTGCATTCATGTTTCTGTTGCTGCAATAACATCTTTTGGTGACTCTGCAGATCAAGGATGGTTTTGCTGAAGGGAAAGACCTGGTTGTGTCTGTTATGTCTGCAATGGGGGAGGAACAGATCTGCGCTCTCAAGGATATTGGTCCAAAGTAGTTTGAGATTGATTGATATGCAGCCTGTTATTGCAATTTTAAATGGAAAGATTTTCGTAAGACCTTTAATAGCTTCCCTCTCCAAGACTTGGTTTGTTTGGATGGGTTTTTATGCTTGGTCTGGATACGAAAAACACATAATTACTATTAGTTTGTGCTATGGTTTACTGTTCTCTTTTCAAGTCCTTTTCCTACAAGCTTTTCTTTGTAATTCACAAAAAAAAAAATTTTTTGCTTTATTTATAATATATACATAAAAACTTATTAATGAATTTACCAATTTTGTGGACGAAAGAAGTATATCAAAATAAAATTTTTTTTATTTTTTATTTTTCCAAATGTGCCTCATCCCCATAATCATGATTGAAATGAGTTACAATTTTTGTGTCAAATGGTTTTAAAATCTTCAGTTCAATTTAAAGTTTTACACAGTTTCTTGAATTTTTACAATGTTTAATTTACAATTTTCTGACTCACATTCTGTAAACCCTTTCGTCGTCAATTACCTTAGAGTTGAGTTTTTAATGAATTATTTGTTAAAATTATTTCGAATAAATAATTTATAATTATTTTTTTTAAATTTTAAGTATTAAGTATTAAGTACGATATATTTTATTTATTGACAATTTTTTTTTATTTGAGGATTGAATAATTTATTTATTTTTGGATAAAATAAAATCAAGTTTTTTATTTTTTATTTTGTATAAATAAAAATATATATTTTTATTTTTTCTGTAATTATAATCATAAATTTTTTAAATTAATAAAAAAAATGCTTAATTGGAATATTAGCATTTGTTATGTAGTACAATATGCGTGAACAAAAGTCATAATTCGTATTTCGTTATTTCATTTAGATTTTTTTATAAAATATTAACAACTTAAAAGTTATTTTAAATGAAAATTTTAATTAATTTTAAAAAATTAAGATTATAATTATAGAAAAATTAAAAAATTACAATTTTATTTACAATAAAAGGTAAGATGCTTAACCTTTTTTTTAATCAAAATTTAAGATCAAATTTTTATTATAATAGCAAATCACATCATTGTTAATATTATTTTAAATAAATAAATAAACAATAATACTCAAAAGTTAAAACTTGAATTTTTTTTAAGGGATGCCTAGTCTTTGAATTTTTAAGAAAATAAGTAAAGTTTGTAATTAATAATAATAATAATAATAATAATATAGTAATAACAAATAAATTCCTTAATTTCAGGATGCATAAGCTTGCTTGAATTGATTAAAGAGAGAATGTATTGAATGAAACTCAAAAATCTCTTACCGTTAAATTCAATAAATAAATAAAATTACTCCTTTATTTGTGTTATTTTAGATATAATAAAAAAATGATAAAAATATTTTCTACTAAAAGAAATGGATAAAATATATTGTTAACATTTTAATTGTTTGTTTCTTTTAAATTTGAAATCTCTTTTTTCAGATATTAGAACAATTTAAAGAGTATTGGATTTAAATAAAAAAATGACAGTAAAATATGTAGAAAATAATCAAACAATGTTAGTAAAAAAATGTTTGAGTCGGAAAGGATGAGTTCATCCTCGTCTTTGCCTCGTCGTTCTCGTAGTGGCAATGGAGAAGAAGAGAGGCAAAAAGCAAGTGCTGGGCCGATGCAGAAACAGTGCTGGCAACATCGTCTGCAAACGTTTCTGTAACTGCCAAGGTTGCCTCTCCTTCCAATATGACCATATTGTTCCCTTCTCGAAAGTCGTCTTCTTCTTTTTCTTATTCTTTATTTCATAGTTTGCCAAGACCTTTAACTTGCCATTTTGGTTCATTTTGTTTTCAGTTGTTTCATGTTCAGCAGGAATAACTTTGAATTTAATTTTAAAAAAAAAAAAAAAAACTAAAGATTTCTGACTCAAACATCCATTACTGTGATCTGTTGAAGTTGCCAGATTTTGATCGATTTGAAGGGATAAAAGTCTCCGGTAATCTGTTGACCTCCAGAAAGATCATGATATAGGACGAGGACAGCCTTATGGAAAGATCATCTTTGATCCTCGTATTATGAGTTTGGTATCATTCTAATTCAGGGAACCTAAGATTGAGTCAGATCAGGGATCTCTGTTTATCTGGTGAAAGCAACAGTTGCTTATTAAATGCCCAGTCTGGTGCTTTCCTGTAAAACACTGGTTTTCAGGTAGCAAATGTAGGTAGAAACCTCTGAAAACAAGAAGTTATTTTGGGAAACATCAGTGTTCTGATAATAGTCTCTATTTTTAAAATTCTAGGAAAGGTTTTTTCTTTCTAATTGGTTTAGTGACAGGTTTACAAAACATCCACTGACTTGTGAATTGTGATGAAGAAGGATTAACTGCTGGCACTGCTTTATTTTAGGTGCCATGCTACTCTTAATGGATTTCAAATGCCTTCTCTTGCTGTCACTGATAATCGAATTTTTGCTAAATCAGCACGTCCTTTGTTCCTGAGCATCTCTGTATGTACCCATCAACCGTTGATAATGGTATCCTTGTGGATGACTGTTTCTCCATTCTCTAGGACAGGAATTCTAGCACACCATAGCAAGTTGAGTACCTCTTGGATGACAATCCTTAATCTTGGAGATAACCCAAGTGGAAATTTATTTTTGTTGGTCTAAAAGCCTCCAATCCAATCACACCAGCGAAAGTAAAATCAAACATATAAAAGACAATAATTTAATGTGATTCGGTCCAACTGACTTACATCCACGGATGAGAAACAAGATCTACTAGTTGTAAAGAATTACAAACTTACATCAAATCATCAACCTTACTCAACAATCAACACTCATAAGACACTTTCAATCTACTCTAGTCCTATGAAGTATTCTCAACCCAAACAAACACAAACCCAAACCCTTGTGCACCTTTTCAACATAACTAAACACATATCCATATGCTCCTATGCTTCTATACATCATACCTATGTGGATCCTCTCAGTCTCGTCTCAGTCTCCTCTAGTCCACTCACAAACAAATATACACACCCATAAGACGTAGAGCCCCAATACTCCTATGGGATGTCTATCCCACAAACCCCTACAACTCTCTTACATCTTTTTCCCATACTTAACCTTATAGAGACTTCACTTATTTATAACCATACAAACTTGCTCATTAAGAATCTCTTTTTTCTTAGAATTCTTCTCTTTCCTCTTAGAATTCTTCTCTTATAAGTCAAACTTGCCTATTAAGAATCTCTTTCTTTTTAAAATTCTTCTCTTGCAAGTTAAACTTACTTATTAAAAATCTCATTTATCTTAGAATTCTTTTTTTATAAGTCTTCTTGTCCATCAAGCAATATCTAACAAAACTCAAACAAATCTCTAACAAATCTCAAACAAATCTCTTATGAAATTTGAATCAATATTTTCAACAACTTTAACAAAAAATTTTGACAGTTGAAACTTTGGTTCCATTAATTTTGTTCTAGGTAAAGTCAAGCAGTATCCTATTAAAATGCATTAACTTGTTTTAAAACTTTTCTTTTGACTAGCAAGGGTACATAAGTGTCTTAGTACTTAGACAACATGTTTCACAACAAACCATTAATTTGCACTTTTTGTGGTTGCAGCAATAAGTAGTTTGGTTCCCCCCTCATTGGTCCCTATAATGGTTAATGGTACTTAGTGGTTTATGTTTACAAGGTCAGCCTATAACATTGACCTGTCCAGTTAGGATATTTTGATCTAAGCCAACAATGACCTCTTGTTCACCATTCAGGTTTGCCTCAACTTCTGAACCTCACCCTTTCTTTCCTTAAGCATAAAATAGGCAGTTCTTACCTTACCCCCTATTGAAAATTTTCTTGGAATAACCATTTTGTTAAATAGTGGTTTCATATCTCTATTTTTTGTTATATAAAATTTATCATTTCAGTTTTGAAGTATTTACCTAAATCCAAATGTACTTTTTACAACTTGTAGATTAGGAGCTTGCGATTATCGAAATGGCTGTTTATGGGGATGTAATCCGGCCTGGTAATCATTGTCGTTGCAGAACTGTTGCTGAAATGCTTGGACAATACAAATCAAAAGACAACTTGGCTGCATGCAAATTGCCGTTTGATAAAGAATCTGTATAGCAAGCAAGGGCTATAAGTTGATGCCGGAATCTTAGGAAGATTTTAAGCTACCTGTTTTTCATTCTGTATTTCTGATTTTGTGCAAGATGCTGAAAGCATATGGTCATTTGATAGGAATGTTAACTGAAATTGAATATCCCCGAATCGTTGGGGCCATTAATTGAACATGTGTATCACATCCTTGATTATACTTTGACATAATGAGATGCCATTTTCATTTCTTTTTCCATGTATTTCGTGTGGCAGTGTTGCTTTGTCAAAGGTGGGTCGAATTGTGCTTCAATGTTTCATATTTCTAACGTAAAACAGGGTTTAATTGAGTTGGGGATAACTCCATTGTCTTGACTTGGAAAAAGAACAGAGAAAAATGGAGAAGGAATGATTGAGCTCATTGAACTAGTTTCCGATGCCTTGCTGCCCAAGTTTTATCTTAAAGGCATGATAGCATGATACCATAAATCAACCATCAGCCTTGAATATGTTCTCAGCTGAATTCTCTCAGCTCTTTGTTCTTCGATTTTATCTGGATTTGAATCCTGATTACCGGAACTAAAAGTCTAACACTCTTGTGAACAGTCGTAAATTGACTATCTCAGCTTTTTCAGGTTCATCATTTGGAGTCTTAAGCCCTCAAACTTCAGCTTGCTTGAGGCTGGTGCTTCTTTGTTAGATCTTTGAAAAGGACTTGCATCTGCCCTAGTGAATGCCCGAAAAACATCAATTAATTCGACAGTTGGTTTTAAAATGTTGAATGTTCCAAAATTTTCCCACTGAAAGTTGAAAAATCATTCTTTCCAGAAGAGCTGTAAAAAGTCATACCTAGCTCCCGATACATGACAGAAACAACTTGGCATAAGATTAGTAGAAAAAGTTGACAAATGCTTCATAGTTCATTGGATATTGACTGACAAAACATGTCTATCGGATGCTGTCTTGATTGATTCTCATTGAAAAAGAAGAAGAAAATGTCTGTTAAGTGGATGGAAAAGGTAGACTCCCCACTTCAACCAACCACACCACCAAAAGTCTTAGCAAGTGGCCACTGGCCTCATTCTCTTCAATATGCACTTTGATTAATAAAATGCAATGAAAGTGAGAGAGAGTTTAATTAAATCCCCATTTTGAGGGTTGAAAAATTCATTAGTAATGATTGTTAATAATAATAACAACTGCCTAAGCTGGCAAACAAAATATAACTCCTTCATAGTGTAAATTTTATTGTTTTCAAGCATAATGTATTGACCAAATCATAGTGGAGTAACATGGTAAGAGTGAGAAATCTTCCTTAATTTTTTATTTACTATATATATTATAACCGTAAAAATTCACATTAAATTTATAAAATATTATTCACTTTAATTTAAAATTTTTATAATTTTAGTTAAAAAATTTTCATAAATATAAATTAAAATCTCTATATATATTATAATGTATTTTCACAACGTCTCGATTTATATTGAAGGATTACGTACATAGTTGTTAATATTAAAAACTTGAACTATACAATTGAAAATAACCCTCTCCCACCTCAAAATTTAAATTTGATATCTTTAAGGTTGGAAAATTTCAAACTCTAACCATGGAGATGTCTTCCCTTAATTTTTCTTAATGATATCTTTTATCATGTATGGCTAGGAAAAGCTCCTATTGTATAGGTGCTTCCATCTCTGTTAATGAATGCAAATATAAATGTCATTACCAAACTAAACAGTTAGCATAGAAAGTTGATGGAAAATATTCATTTTAGAGCGAAGTTGTTATGCCATGATTTGGATTATGACACCACTTAGACCTACTCTTGACTTAATTCACTCATCACTCTTTTTTTTTATTGTTTGATTCAAAATCTCTAATATCATATATTAAATTTGATATTGCTGCTTTTAGTGGGTTTTCTTTTTTTTTTTTAATAAAGGGTTTTTCCAATTGAAACAAAATGTATATGAAACAGTGTACTTCAATCATAAGGCCCCAAAGACAAAGCACTAAACACAAACCAACCACTTGATTAGCTTCTTTAAACTCAAACCCTGTTTTGTCTCTTGCATTTACAAAATCTACCTTACTATATAGTTTGCCTATGGTTACTCAGTTGCAACAGGTTTAAGAGGAAAACAAAATAAAAATAAAAACTTCAAATATTATGTTTTTGATTGATTTATTTAATTGATGAATTTTAAAATATTATTCATAATCATTTATTAAATTTAATAAAATGAATAAAAAAATATGTTTATTAACTGTTCGTCGAACGTTTTATTCATTTATATTCTTGATTGTAAATAATCAAACATAAAGAAATTTTGCTAAACTTTTTATCTGTTTGTTGAATTAATAAATCTTGAAATATTAATTGTAGTCGTTTATTAAATTTGATGGACGAACAAAAATTAAATTTATTCATAATCTGTTTATCAAACATTTTGTTCATTCACATTTGATTTTTTTTCATAGTTTTAACATATGAATAATTTTATTTTCCACTAAAAAAGCTCTCATGTGATACCACTAACATGAATTTGTTCAATAAAAACCATATCAAAAGGTAGATTAAAATGTCTCTAATGAAACATTGTTTGATGTTCTTCCCACAAAGCAACAGAAGATTAAAAAAAAAGGAGAGAAAGATAAACAATCTTTAAAAGGGGAATTTAATTAAAAGATTACTGTTAAGTTTTTGTGATTGCTTTATTGGTAAAAAAAAATGTGTATAATTACACTTTTCTAAAAGGGTTTTTCCTTTTCTATATGACAAAATCATAAAATATTTATTTTTTTTGTGCATGAGTGCAATTGAGTGCCTTTTTTTTTTACCATGGGAGATTGATTGGATATGGCAGCTCACATGCAAATTGATCGATAATAATAATAAATTTCATATATATATATATTTTTTTTTTTTCATTTATCTGACTAAAAATAGTAAAATTCCACTGATCTTAAAAGTATTTGTTTTTACATTTTTTATTTAAATCTGCAATGATGAGTTGAATTCTTAAAACTGCATGCAAATGGAGAAGATGCCATTGCCATTGCCATTTGCCTTTTGCTATTCCCAAATTCCTTTCAATTTTCATATATTTTGTTTGAGAAGAGAGGACCACAATCTCTAATATTTCTTTTTCATTTGATGAATCCAAAGGACATAATTTCTTTCTTTCTTTCTTTTGAGAGAGGCCAGTTTGATGATGACAAAACATGCATTTTTCTTTCTTATATAGGCTCAAAGCCTGGTTTTTTGGGGATGCAAAACCCTACCAAACTTTTAACACTGTTTTGTTTATAGTTCATGAAATCTTTCAAAGTCACAAAGTGACCTAAATAATTTTATAATTGCACAAGATTGTAGGCAGTGTCCTTATGGTAGTACTAATTAGATCTTAAATTTTCTAAGTTTAGGTTATTGTGAGATTTAGTATGTGCTTTTTATATATATATTTTTTAACGATAAAAATTTTTGAGTTTCGTTTAATATAATTTTATTTTATGTTAGTCTAAGTAAATTTATTTACGTTGAATCTGATGAATTTATAAAATGTTATCTTCTTATAATCTTTTAATATATTCGATCCCAAATAATAAAATTATATATCTTTTTAATACTTGAACCAACACCCATTACTCATTATGTTCCATATATAATTATAAAATTATTAAGGTAGAATTTTTAAACTTTATAAGTATATTTAAATGTATATCACATGTCCATATGATTCTAAATAAGAAAACTATTAAGTTCACATATGTAATAACATAAACTCATGTCATATTTTTAAATTCACTCGTAAAATTTTTAATTATATTTTTTATCATATTTTTTAAATGTATTTTTTAATTAAAATTTTTTTAATCGTAAAAGGAATGCTAAACTAGCTTATTGTAGACATGTTCATGGACCAGATGATTCGCTTGAATCCAAAAATTCATCTAAAATTTTGAAAAGCTTTGACATAAATATTAAACCCATTAAATAGGTCTAAACAAATAAATAATATCCAATAAAAAAATAAGATCAGATTTAAATTTTATCATTTAAAGTTCAAGTTCAACCCGACCCGAAAATCATAATAGGATAAAATACATTTTTTTTTATTGTTTTATAATGGACAATGATTATTTATTTTATTACTTATAATATGATAAAAAATTTTTATAAAAAATAATATTTTAATTTTAATTTTTTAAAATTAAATTAGATTTAAACCCAAATAATTCATAAATTCAATTAAAATTAGTTAAATTAATTAAACTAATAATTTACAACAAAAAATATTTTCTCAATTTTAAATACTAATATTTTAGACTAATATAAATTTTATTATTATATATAAAAATATATTTAAATAAAAAATAATATTCAAAAAATCAAATCAAACTCAATTTAAACTTATTTAAAATACTAAAATATTGTAATAAACTCGATTCAAACCCAATTCAACTTAACTTATAAACAAGTCTAGCTTATTGTTAGATCTATGACTTAAAAGTTGGGATATGATATTCTATTAATCAAACATTCTTTAGAAAAAAATAAGCTTCCCACATTCCCGAATTTGATTTTTAATTCTATTGATTTATATTATTATTTTAAAAAATAATTTTTAATAAATATAAGATTTTAATTTTAATAGTATCAATGCACTCCAGAAATTTATTTAGAACTATTATATTAATCTTTTAAGTAATCATCACCAATCCTGCCCAGACAAGAGTGGTCCCAACTCCCAACATCAAAAGGGCAAAAAAAAAAAAAAAGAAGAGCTTTCATAATCATCAAATGTGAACTCCCTACCATTATGGAGCATCCAACACTCTAAATAAAGTAGTTTACATTTTTCAAGAAAGGAATAAAAAAAAATTAAATGATCAATGTCAAACTTACAAACAAGATATTTAGGGATTTGGGATTGGCTTTGGCCTTTGTTATAATTTAGAATTAAAAAATTTTGAATTCTTATTGATGGATTTTTATTCAAAATGAGAAAAAAATGGGAAAATTAGAATTTATTTATAAAATGTGGAAAATAAATTTTTTTATAAATTTATTAAACTCAACATTAATAAATTTACTTGAAGGGACTTGAAAAAAAAATTGAATAAAATTTAAAAATCTCTCACTGTTCAGCATAGAGGTGGGGGAGATACTTTGTTTTGGTCTTTGATTTAGGCTTCCCAACTCAAATATCATTGGACCCACTTTTTATTTTTAATAATATAGGAAAAAAAGAAGCAATGATATCAAAAAAGAGGGGGGAAAAATTAAATTTGATTATTTATGGATTTATATTTGAATTATATAAATATTAAAATTTATATATTTATATGAAAATTATAGTTATAATTCATGTAATTTGTGTTTATATTAAAATATAAAAAATTTTTATTTTATTAAATTTATATATAATTAATATTAAAATTTTAAATATTTTTATTTTTATTTTTTTATATTATATCATTGTATTATATTTTAAATTATTAAAATAAAAAAGTAAACAAAACATTGGAGGTAAGGAAAATTTTGGGGAGTAAAAGTGATCAAACTAAGTGCTTATTTGAATTATATCACACTTTTAATACGGTATTGTTGAATTCATTATATTTTCGGTTAAAATTAAATATTAATTTTAATTATATTTATTTATTATAAATTTTTATTAATTTTTTTTAATTATAATTATTATTATTTTTAATCTCATCATTTATCATATAAAGCCTGACTAAGTTAAATTAATTTTTGCTTTGTTTTTCCATCAAATTCAATATCTTCTTTAGTGAAATGAATTTTTTTTGTGTTTTCTCTCTCTTCACGTGACGTAGCTGAAAAGGAATTAGGGGTCTTCCTTTCCTTCGTAGTACATGTTCCTTTCTCCCATTCCTTATCCCCCACTCATTACGTAGCACAAAATTCAAAACTCCATTCCCACAATTATTATTCTTCTCCATTTCCATCTCAATTCTCAACCATATACATAAAATAATTTTTCTTTCCAAAAAAAAAAAACCAAAAAATAATACGAATTAAAAACCTATAAACTTATTTCACATGAAAAATCAAGTCCCAAGTAACCAAATAAATTTATCAATTGTTTATAAAAATATATTTAATAAATTTAAATTTTAAAATATATAATTTTTCATTTTTTATTATGATTTTTTATATAAAATTAAAAATACTTTTGTAATTGTGAATTTTTTTATTTTTAAGAAGACAAAGCCCATAATACCAGAAAAGAGGAGAGGTCGGGATCGAACCTCAATCTTGATTTTTTTAAAAATATTTTTTATTATTAAATTAAAAAATTAAAGATATAAATGTAAATTATATAAAAAATTAAGATTCAAATCATGCTGCCTATTGCCTACTAATAGTAGATGTAACAAGTTTCCTTGCATATATTTTATTAAAGAATGTGAATCCAACATTTCAATATGATAGTTTATATATTTACATATTTATATTGTATAAAATATTTATAAATTATATATTTTTATTATATTTTAAATAAAAATTATGTATTATAATTTATATTAATATAAAAATATAAAATATTTTTTTTGTTTTATTAATTTATTTATAATTTTTATTAAAATTTTAAAATACATAATTTTTATATTTTTTATTTATATTATTTTCTTATCATATCATGATATTATTTTAAAATTATTAAATTTAATTTCAAACTTCAATGTTTTCGAAGACAAAAACACAATTTGGTCGACGACCCCCAACAATTCTAAATAAACAAAACCAAGAAATCTTAATCTTTCAAATTCTAAAACAAAAATAAAAATGATCCACTAATAAATAATTATTATTTTTATTTTTAAACATAATTTTATTATTTATTATTTCAAGATCAAAATAAGAAAAAATATATAAAATATAAAAAGGTATCCCACTTGTAGTGAAGTGGCAGCCAGTTTTTCTGCTTTATTTGAACTCATTTCCTCAAATACAAACAGAGAATCATACAAACTTCATTAAAACAGAGTTTCTTTTCAGCCAACCATTGAAACAGAGTTCACAAGCGAAAATTTTTTTTTCACAGACAGAAACAAGAACAAAGGATAAAAACTCCCAAACAAAAAGAGTAGTGACATTTTGTTTTATTGTTATTAATTCCCCCAAAAATTAAAAAAGAAAAAACATCATTAATGGTTTTTCATTTCGATCTTTCCGTTGATTTCGGTAGCCTCAGAGTGTTTTGTTTGGCTGCCACATTAAAATCTATCTTGCGTAATTGTCGCTTCCCATCAAATACATGAAAGCGAAAGAAAGAAATTCTATCGTTGGATGTTTATTGTATAAAAAGGCTTCATTTTTGCTCTCTGTTCTGTTTCTTTTACAGTAGAAAGAAGAGAGAGAAGCTGAACTCTGAAGAAGCTGAAAGCGTGAAATTTAGTTTGCAAACTCACCTCACAATTGTTTGGTGATTTTTGGGGTCGGGTTGGCGCCAAAAAGGAAAACCCGGAAAGAAAGTTGGGATCTTTGTTTCTTGATCATATGATCAACGGCCATTGATGGGTTGTGTGAGTTCGAAGCAGGCGGTGTCAGTGACGCCTGCTGTCGACCACTCCGGCGCTTTACGTGACAATGCGCGTGCCGGTAGTTTTGGGACCAACTCTGGCCGGTCTCGGGTCGGGCTCTCGGAGCTTGAGAAGAACAGGAGCAGTGGCCGTGGGGGTAGTAAGAAGAAGAAAAATAATAGTAATAGTGGGGGTGTGAGTGATTTGGGTGGTGGGGTTGGTGGCTTTGCGCTGAGTGGGAGCGAGTTGGGTGAGTCTGGTCGGGCGAGTTCGAGATCCGACTCGTTGAGTTTGAGGCTGGGGAATTTACAAAAGTACATAGAAGGTGAACACGTGGCAGCCGGGTGGCCTGCTTGGCTCAGTGCCGTCGCCGGTGAAGCTATCCATGGTTGGGTTCCACTTAAGGTTGACTCTTTTGAGAAGCTTGAGAAGGTTTGGAATTTCTTTTCTTTTTCTTTCATGTTTTCCAATAAATTTACCCTTTTTTTTATTTTTTGTTTTGCTTCTTAATATTTTTGTTATGTCATTTTCTTGATGTGTGTGTTTTTGGTTTCTTCTTTTTTTTTTAATTCACTTTAAGGGTAAAATTTTTTACATATAATTCTTGCAGTTATATACCCTTTGGAGATCAAGAAGAGCTTTAAAAAATAGAGCAATTTGTACATGCATTTGGTTGAAGTGAATTTATTTACTGTTGATAATAGCCTAATAGGGAAGTTCTTTGATTCCATGCCATGCTGGCAGAGGCATTCTTGTTGAATCATGCATGTTACATGCATATATTTTGATGCTTTTAACCCTTCAGTTCTAAAACTTCTTTGAATTTTTAACCTTTCTATCACTTGTTAAGCTTCTTTCTGCTATGGAGCTCAAAGCAACTTTTATGTTTAGAAGGTTGGCAGATAGGTGTTGTTTTCCTAAATCAACTAACTAAATGGGCTGTGATTGTTTATTTTTTCGGCTTGTGAGTTTTTTTATTTATTTATTTTAACCTTTTGCTATTTTCTAATTTCTCAACATTGTCTTGGAATGTCATACTGTTCCTGATATTTGATGTAATAGTACCATTTTCAACTGCTTTAACAGATAGGACAAGGTACATATAGCACTGTGTTCCGTGCTCGAGACCTTGAGAGTGGGAAGATAGTTGCTCTAAAGAAGGTGCGGTTTGACAATTTTGAGCCTGAGAGTGTTCGATTCATGGCAAGAGAGATACTGATTCTTCGAAGGCTTGACCATCCAAACATCATAAAATTGGAGGGGATAATTACCTCCCGAATGTCATGTAACATATACCTTGTATTTGAGTACATGGAACATGATATCGCTGGACTTTTGTCTTGTCCAGATATCAAGTTCAGCGAGTCACAGGTTTGTTCACTTTGCCTCTGTGGCTAAGGTTAGTGTAATGTTCTATGATGGCATGCATATAGAACACAAGTTGATGAGGACAATTTTTAAGTCATTGGTGTACCAAAACGTAAAGTTGTTTGCTAAAACCCAAAAGTGAATGTGTTATAATGCTGAGAAAAATTAGCTAAGCATATGCCTTAATAAAATAGAAACATGCATCTTTAACAATGAATATTGATTTTGTTTTGTAGATTAAGTGCTATGTGAAGCAGTTGTTATCTGGACTTGATCACTGCCATTCACGGGGTGTAATGCACCGGGACATTAAAGGATCAAATCTCCTTGTAAATAATGAAGGAATACTAAAGATGGCTGATTTTGGTTTGGCAAACTTCTATGGTTCTGGGCACAAGCAACCCTTAACAAGCCGTGTTGTAACCTTATGGTACCGTCCCCCAGAACTTTTGTTGGGTTCTACAGAATATACTGCAGCTGTGGATCTTTGGAGTGTTGGCTGTGTATTTGCTGAACTTCTCCTTGGTAAACCTATCCTGCAAGGGAGAACAGAGGTTAGCACCTTGCTAAAGTACATCCCTTTTACATTATATTCATCTTAATAATTTTAATATCGACAAAGAGTAGTTAAGAATCTTTTAAAAAGAAAACAAAAGGACAATTGCTGTGGAAATGATCTGTATTACTGGGATGAGCCGTTTATACAATAATTGATTCCTCATAATAAGGAAAAGGATAAATTGCAAGAACAGAACAAGTTTCATGGTGCGTAGGAAATTTTACTAGGAATCGGCATTGGTGCCAAAAGGAGTCTCTAGAAATGCCAGTTCTATGTTTCTTTTTATTGGGTAATTCTTTTGAGTATTGTTGCTACTGTATCAATCTTTTGATTATGAGAGTGCTATGTCTGATGATCATTGCTTCACTTCAATCTCTTCATTGTTTTCTGGCGGTTCTTAAGATGATTTCTTGTTGGTATACATATCCGAGACTAATGAAAGCATGTTGTTCTTGTACAGGTTGAACAACTGCATAAAATTTTCAAGCTCTGCGGGTCCCCACCCGACGATTACTGGAAAAAGTCCAGACTTCCCCATGCAACTCTATTCAAACCACAACAACCTTATGATAGTTGTCTTGGGGAGACTTTTAAAGATTTACCTGCCACTGCTGTGAATCTAATAGAAACTTTGCTTTCAGTGGAGCCGTACAAGCGTGGGACTGCTTCCTCCGCTCTTGCATCAGAGGTAATTATGCAAAAAGGAACCATGATCATTTCTCATTCGAAATTGTAATTTGTTGTTCACCCTTGTTAAGCATCTAATCTAATAATAATTGACTATACATGTAGTACCCAATTTGAATATAAGGCCAAATTTAAGTAAAAACTTAGAATAACAAAACTAAACACCCTTAAATTTAGGTCCAGTGCAAACAATTGAACCAAATGGCCTTCGACATAGACAAGAAATTTGGAGCAACAAACAACTAATTATCTAACAGAAGGGGCAACTATGAAGCAGTGGTACTTGATATCCCCTTTTGTGTCTATGTTGTAAGTCTGATATCGAACGCCTCTAACATGGTTGGATGTGTGTCAGACATAAAGAGGCACCAAACAAAAAAGATCCATATAAGGGAAGATATAATGAGGACATCAAATAGGCACAAAACTAATCAAACTTAACTAATGTGGAATGACACCAGTTAAAATCCTTAATAAACTCAGGGCCTGAAGTAACTTGCCTATAAGTTTCAGTTCTATCTCACTTGCATATCGTTATGAAGTTATAATGTGGCTTTGTTGTCTTATATATTTGGTAGCATTTTCTTTAGAAACACTGCAAATGCAATATCCAGTTTTATACCCAGTGTTATAGTTCTAATTGGTTTTCTTTTGCGTCATTTACAATATTCTGATTCTTGATCTAAAATTTTCAGTATTTCACAACTAAGCCTTATGCATGTGATCCATCAAGCTTGCCAGTATATCCACCCAGCAAAGAGATTGATGCAAAACATCGTGAAGAGGCAAAGAGGTAAGAACTTTGTTTTAAAATGTGTACGGAGACATTAATTTAGGTAGCTTTCTTGAACCTGGAACCGTGTTGTTTCTGGCTTCTTTTATATTCAGTGTAATAAATTTTAATAACTGTGGCATATGATATCCACACAATATTTTGCCAAAGTTTCCTTCTTTTTTCATTTTCAGCTAGATGACATATCAAAAGTAAGTCATTCCTTGTGTTTTGGAAGATATCATATCATTTAAATGAATAAGCTGGATCCTAGTACTCTCCTGAATGCTATCCCAATTATTGAAAATTTTCTGACAGAATGATTTGCTTCCTTGACAGATGGAAATGTTCAATTGATATTTGGCTACTTGATCTGTTTCTTTTTCAGGTTTTAGAGAATATGTAGTAAACTCATGCATGCTATAGTACATACACAATGATGATCATCTGCAAATTCCACCATATACACGCATATATACCACTTAAAACTGTTTGATACCATCTTCAATATGTTTCAATGAATTCTCAGGAAAAAGATAAGTGGAAAAGTTCGTGGGCCTGAAACAAGAAAGCCAATAAGAAAACCCCATGGACTAAGTAAATTGGCACCAGTTGAGGTTTCTCTCCCTTTCTCTCTCTCTGTATTTGTATTTATGGTTACCCAGAAAAATTTATATACAATCTATTTTACATGCAGGATACTGTTGCACAAAATCGAGGTTCTGAGAAAATTAATAGTAACCATGTCCATAACTCAAAGCAAAGAAATGCCACTATCAGCGATGGAGTGTCAAATCTATCTACTGATGCATTAGAAGAGGCTGCCCATGTAAAGCATTCATCCCAAGGTGATATTCCTTTTTCTGGTCCATTACAAGTTTCTACATCAAGTGGCTTTGCATGGGCCAAAAGACGAAAAGATGATGCATCCATAAGTTCATACAGCAGATCTATCTCAAGAGGTCACGTATATAATTCTTTAGAACCTTGTGCTCAATTTCATGCAAGAAATAATCTTGATTCAAAACGACATGAAAATGGGGATGTAATATATGGAGGCCACATTGATTCTAGAGGCCAAGATTCATATGAAGCTGCCAAGCATGCTATGCAGAAACAATGGAGCCAGTTTGAGCGCCCAGATTCATTTGATGCTTCTGATGGATACCACTCACAAGAGCTATCATTGGCACTTTATCAAAGAGAGGAAATGGCAGCCAAGAGAAATAATTTGGTATGTCTGTAAATATCAGAACCAGAAATTACATTAAAATTTTGTTCTTGACATCTAGTTTAAACTTATTTACACATACATCAGTTATTCAGTTTTAATTCAATTTTGCATGAAGAATTATGTCAATCGACTAGATTTAAAATGATTTGAATTCAATATAAAACTAAAAAACTTGAAACTTTAATAAAATTTCGAACCTCGATGAGCTGAAAGTAATTACTGTCGTTGAGCTTGGATTACTTTAGCAGATGAGTTTTCAATAAACTTCCTTACCAAAACGAAACAGGAAGCTGCCTTCCATAATGTGCCTTTCATACCCTAAGAGATTGAGAGATGAATATGGCTTTTGTAAACGGATCCTCTTTATTTTCATGTTAAAATTAGACGAAAATAAGGAAAAATAACTCATTTCTAATCTATGCCCCTAAACCAAAAACAGTAGATATCATCACTTCAATTTCTTTAGAATTTGTATATTGATCAAATTATATATTGTTTGTTCTGACAGGGTTACCAAGATGAAGGGGACAAGGTTGAATTTTCAGGTCCTTTGTTGTCTCAATCACATAGAATTGATGAACTCTTAGAACGACATGAGCGACAGATCCGCCAAGCAATTCGAAAGTCATGGTTCCAAAGAGGTACAACAATAACAACAGAAATAACTTTATTAACTGTTTAGACAACTATTTACATTTATGATGGCTATTTTTGGTGTTATAACTTTCACTTCTTCCCAACCACTTTATGGTGACATAAATCTCATTTAAAGCAACCGTAAGATTGAACTTGATTATCGATCAAAGCTGTAAATACTTGCCAGACTTTTGCCCCACAGAGTTATTTCTCATTTAGTTCATGTTCTTGAACGAGATTATACAGTCTAACATTATTTATTTATACTAATAATTTGTATTGCAGGTAAAAAGTAATCTTCAGATATTCTCAGGCCTCAGGACTCAGTAAGATGAAGCTTCTGACCAGAAGCAGTCATTCAGGGTCCTACAATCCAAGGGCAAAAGCGATAGGTTGGCTGCCATACCCATCCATCATGCCAATAACAACATCAAGTTGAAGCTTCTGCACAAAAGTGGCGAAGAACAAAACCGAGAAACTACACTACGATGGTACGCTGCATGTTACAATTCTAGGAACTCTAATGAAAGAGGAAAGGAAGAGGGCCCCTGGGTGGCTGCTCAGTCTCTTTCTGCAAAGAACCATGATTATTTTTTTCCCTTTCAATTGAAGTTTTCGTCTCACTTCCTTTTGTTTCCTTACTTTCTTCTCATCAAGTCTGACCCCACTATGTATAGGTTCATCACAATTGAATTGAGATCAGTCTCGAACATGATCATGGTTCATAAGGCTTATCAATGTCTGGCTTCTCTCTTTTCTCATATCTGTAGTTCAGTGTTACTTTGGTAGTTCTTTAGTCTTTTTTAAAGCCTTAAGAATGGATTTTGGAAATGTCAAATGTCAGGAGAAAGCCATAGCCACACAGGGTTAGCCACCTGGAAGCGTTTATCTACATTCACAAGTGTTTTAGTATCTATTACATGACTCAAAGAGTATGCTCAAAGTGCAATAGAAAGTGATTTTGTGTCTTTGGGAAGTCATTAAACTCAAAGGTGTTTAGAATAGCAGCAAAATGTTTCTTTCTCTTTGCCATTTTCTCCCCAGGCCTGACTGCTTGAGTGGTATCCTTTTTTTCTTATTCCCCTTTCCTAAGTTTTAGTATTACCTGAAAAAATGGAAACCATTCTGTTTGATTACAGTGGCTGTGAAATCACGAGGTTTATCCAAAAACAAAGGCTAATGCCTGACAATTTTAAATACCAAATGGTGACAATAGCAAATGCTTAATAATTTTAATAATTTTAAATGTTACATAATGACACTATATATAAAAAAGCACAAAAGTAATATGATTTGAAATTTTAATAAAAATCGTATATAACATTAAAAAAATAAAAAAAGATATTATAATACAAATTTTGATTTATCGATACGAATTATAATATAATAATTTTTATATTTTATGTGTTGGATATAAATTCGATAAATGCGAATAAATGAATTATCAAATTTATATCAAATATATATAAATCATCATATATATGTTAAACTAAGGTAGAAGACTTGTTCATACCACTTGGTATCAAAATTGGGTGGATTTGAGTTACACAATTTTGTTTTATCAGCTGTTTGGTATTGTGAATCTTGTGGAATGGATGTGCAAAAGTTGGCTAGCACTTATAAGAAGAATTGAATTGTAAAACCAAATCAAATCAGTTTCCACAAATTAAAAAAGAAATAAATTTGAAATTAAACTGCTGGCTTGAGGGTAAAATAAATCATATGCGACCAAACTGATTGAGAAGAAACTTTGGTGTCGGTGATTTTTCAAAATCAACCAGAAAATTTGTAATGATTTCAGTTTAAAGGTTTTCTCAAACTGAAAACCAAAGATTAGGACGTGGGCCGTGGGCCATGGGCTACGTGCTTCAATCTCAATATAAGGCCCAAAAATAAAGAAGCTTATTTTTTTGGCCCAAAAACAGTTTAGTTTCGTTAAATCAATTGGTTATATTAAATCAAATAATCACTAAAATAAAATGTTAAACTTTTAATTTCAATACAAATATTTAAATTTTGTCGAACCAAAAATAAAAGGAAATTTTTTTAATTTTTCATACTTCTTTTGTATGTTTTTCTTGCCTACAAATAGTTTTATATACAAAAAAAAAAAAACCCAAATTTAAAGAAAAATAAAAAAAAAACATTGCAACTGGTGATTCGAATTTCAATTATTTCTTAAAAAAATAATGAATCATTTGAATTAATCCAAAGTTATAGGAAGATTTGAATCAAGACAAGATACCTTTCAAAGGCCTCGTTGTTCCAATACCCAAAGCCAATTATATAATGTTTAGCATACGTGTCTTTTGTGTAAGAAATGGAATTTGCACGATCCGTCTTTCCTATCTCTTTCTTTCTACTTTTTCATTCCTGTTTAGTTAATCACGTGAGGATGACAACTTGGCAAGTTGACAATAACATAATTAAATATCAATTAATTAAAGTTAAAATTAAATATCAATTGTTAGTTTAATAATATTAAAAGTGATTTTAATATTTTTAATATTATTAAAAAAAAAAAAAAAAGAATGATGGCAGTCTGTCAACTTACAGTTTCACAAGACAACTCGGATTTCTCAATTTCAATCTTGCAAATGGCAACCGTGGAGTGGCTGCTATAATTTCAAGTGGGTCCTACTTATCATCATCCACATCATCTCGCCGTTCGTCATGTTGACTTTGTTGTCTCACTAGTTGACTCTAATTAGAAATGGTGTTTGATTAGAAGGAATTATTGATGGGATTATCAAGTACACAACTCCTTAATTATGTGGTCTAACTATAATTTCTACCCCTGATTACAAGACACGTGTGATGCACGTGCATATGATTTTTTTTTTAAACTTTTCTCTTTAGCTAAGGCATGCGCTCCAAACAACTAATTATAAAACACGTGTGATACACGTGAATCTTTTTACAATTCTTTATTTTAAAGAGGTATATCATTGAATTAGATCTTTAGGGATTAAAATTTCAAACGAGTTTATACATATAATTTTTTTTAATAATTTTATGTTAAACAATAAAATATCACATAAAATATTAAATTTCAATATTTTTATTATATTATTTATGCGAGAAATTTTGATTTAAATGATGTGAAATTTAATTTATTTTTAATTAAAGGTAAGTATTAATCGATTGAAACCGATTTAATCAACTAATATCGATCTAAATAGATTTATTTTGTTTTATTTTATTATAATTTTAATTGATTAGAAAAATAGTTTACTCAATTTGTTGAGTCAATTATTGATTTTGAAAATTCATAATCGAATAAATCACACTTATTTATTCTATTAATTTATTTTTAAATATAATATAATTTACATAATATTTTAAAATAATATAAAATATATCATTTATTCTATATAATATATAACATAAATATAAAATAATATTTAAAAATTTATTTGATATATAATTAACGAAAATTTTTAATTTTACAAGTGAGATTGATAGAATGATGCACATCTTATTTTTTAAATATATTTTAAAAATATGTATTACTTTGTTAATTTTATTTACGAAATTAAAAAATTATATTAACAATATATTTGATAATTTTTTAAAAATTTAATAATTATTTTAAATGAAAATTAATTAATTTAATTTTTAAAATTTTAAAACCGAACCACTCAACTGATTGAATGCTCTTCCCTATTATTACTCTAATACATAAAGGAAAAGATGGTGTAAGATTGAGAAAATATTGTAAATTAGAAACAGGTTAACAAATGTGTTGGTGGTGCAGCAAATTAATAAAGTCCACCATACCTTTATGTTGAATAATCAATGGAATAAAGAAAGAAAGAAGGAAAGACACTTTATTTACCTTTTTTCAAAGATGAAATAGTAAATTCAAATTTCACTTTAACCGCAAAAGTTTTTTACTTAACATTAATTATAATTGCTAAAATTTTATAAAGTTTTCTAAATTATAAAGTTAGTACAGAAATTTAAAACAGCATTTAATTTTTCATTTGTTAATGTCACTCAATCAAATTGGATATTAGTTCCAACTTACCAATTTATAATTGCTAATTGCCATATAAAGATTATGGATAAACATCAATATTAGCTTAAATAACATGCATGAATAAATAGCATCCATGTCCTTAAAATTTGTAAAATTTAGACCAAATTTTATTTTGATTCATAAATTTTAAAAAATTATAATTGAATCTTTGATTATCCAAAGTATACTAATCTAATCCCTCTGTATATGAAATCGTTTAAATTGACAATAAATATCAATTGATATCACATGATGACGTCAATTAACATATTAAATGATAAATGATGGATCAAAATAAATTTTTTCAAAGTTTAGGAACAAAAATAGAATTCTCACTCAATGTTAACTAATTTTAAGTTTTATATATTTATTTTATATTTAAAACAAAAATCTATCTAATAAGTTATATTATAACAAAAAATATAAATTTAAATTGTATTTGAATATTTTTGCATTATAATTTTTATTATAATATAATTTATTAGATAGAATTTTGTTTTAAATATAAAATAAATATTAAAAACATCAAAATTAAGTTAAAATTTTCAAATTCTTTTTTTTTATTTAATGCATTTTAAAAACAAAAAAAAATGAAAATACTATTTTACTCATAAGTTATGATAAAACATATTATTTTCTATCCAAATAATTTATTTTTTAAATGTTAAATATCTTCTATTTTTTCTTTTTAAATATATTTATAAAATACACTTTATAAAAAAGAAAAAATAAAAATGTTTTAAATTATATTTATTTTATATGAATATAAAGTTTTTATATTTTTGAATAGATTAATAAATCTATTTTTGAAAATGATTTTAAAATTTTTACATAATATTTTAAAATGATATAAAGTTTTCATTAATTTCCTAAACCAATATACAAATTTTTACTTAATTTTTCAAAATGATATGTAATTTTAACAAAATTATTTTGAAAATTTCAACTTACTTTGAATTTTTTAAAAATCCATTTTCAATTAAAAATATTATTTTATTGAAAAACGATATCATAATAAAAACTAAAAAATATTTTAAATTATAATATTTTATAAAATATATTTGAAATATATAAAAATCAAAATTTTCTTGAATTATTTTTATTTTTTCCTTTATTTATTTTAATAAAATATATTTGAAAAGGAAAAAATAAAAGATATTTAACATTTTAAAAATATATTTTATGGATAGAAAACAATATTTTTATTATGATTTATAAGTAAAATAATAATTTTAATATAAAATAAGTTTTTTTGTTTTTAAAATGATAAGCATGTTTGTAAAAACTTATAGATAATTTATTCTATATCAAACTATAAGCATTTTATTGTTTCATAAAAATAGACATTAAATTAATTAAAGATATAAAGAGAAAAACTATATTGATAACAAGAATTTGGGTGAATCCATTGTAAGATATCAAAAAATAACTGAAAATAAAGACGAACAACCTATTATGATTTGTTTATTCTTAAAAATATTTTATTCCCTAAGAGAGAATTGTAAATTCAAATTTCTTTTAACTCAAGAGATAAAAATGGTATGCATACAAACATCTTGATAATGATAAAAAGAAACTAATTAAATTAAAGTTCTTTATTTGGTCCATTTATCGATTAGAAGATTTAGTCTGTATGAATCATTATTGGCTTAATATTTTTAACTTATTTTAAATTTAAAAAATTATTTTATATTAAAAATAAAAATATAACTAATAAATTATATTACAATAAAAAGTATAATTTTAAATTTAATATTTTATAAAATATATATGAAATATATAAAATTTGAGATAATTTTATCTTTATCCCTAAATTTTGAAATTCTATTTTGATCCCTCATTTGTAATATGAGATGCTAGTTGACGTCATCACGTGATGTCAATTGGTATTTGCTATTAATTTAGATGATTTTATAGATAAAAGAATTACATTAATATATATTTGAGCAATTGAGAACTTAATTAAAATTTTTAAAAGTTTATAAATTAAAATAGAATTGGACTCAAAGTTTAAAAACGAGGGCATTGTTTACTCTAACATGCATGTCAGATAGATTTTAAAAAATTATAAATTTAAAAAGTTTAAGCGTGTAATATTTTTTCAAGTTAGTTAAATAAATAGTGTTAGAAATAAAAGATAAATTAGAAATTAAAAAAAAAAAAAAAAACAGTTAGAGCATTTTTTTTATATACTAACATTGAAACACTTTTCAAATTTATAAGTGAAATTAAAAAATTATCACATATTTTTTTTAATTTTTTATTATACTTTAAAAGATATATGTCACTTTTTTAACCTTAACAATAAAATTTAAAATCAATTTTTTAAAATTCAATTTGAGTGACTATGATAATTTTTGATATATTTAAACAGTAATGGACTTCCAAATAAAATGTCATGATCTAAAATAATTCTTTGCAATTTTAAATTGGCAACATAAAAATCAGGTAGTTGATCCCCTAAAAAAGTCACAATTGCCAATGCCTCTATCATATTTAATAATGGTTTATCCAACAAAATGTTGCCAAATAAGAAACCAAAGAAAAGTGAAATAAATGAAAAATATTTTTTTTTTGAAGAAAAAAATATATGAGACATTGAATCTTCCAAATCTAGACAATTCTAGACTCATCCATTTAAGTTTTTCTTAGAAGACATAAAAAAGAGGAAAAAAAAAATAAAACTAATTTCCCAAAATTTTTACAAGATATTTTCTTTTATTTTTCTTCTTGATAAGGAAAAATAAAAAAATTAGTTAAAGATTTTGTTTTAAAATGTTAGTACAATTGTGGAAATTATTTCTAAATAAAAAGAAGATAATGTTTAGATTATAAATTAAAAAATTGTTGAATCAAGTTTGAAGCAAAAAAAATAAATATATATATGTATAAAAAATTATTTCTCACATTGTTTCCTAAAATTTTTAGATTTCAATCTTTAAGAATATATAAAAAATTAACACAATTAAAAATAATACTCATCAAAATTTTTAATAAAATTTAAAAATTTTATCAATAGTATATAAAAAACAAATTCATATATCAAACTAAAATATTAAAGCAAAAAACAAGAACAATTTTTTTTGAAAAAAATTTAAGAATAGGAGAAGTTATTTAATTTTCAAGATTAAGATAAGCTGTAAATCCGCAAAGAGATTCATTTATTCATTTTTTATTTTTATTTTTTTTAAATTTATAAATAATTTATCAATAAAAAATCATAAAAATTTGAATTTTAATATTCTACACTCAAATCTTAAATTTTAACTATTTACATAAACTTTGATTGATTAAAAAAAAGAATAATCTGAAAAATATCTTTTAATATGATATAAATATTAAATAATTTCATTTTATTTATTTTTGTACAAAGAAATAATAGCTGTTTCCAAGTTCATTTTAAATTTTTTGTTTGCAAAAAACGTAAATAGAAAAGGACATCATGTCCAAAGTCTACACATGGACAATCCCTCTGTGTTCCCTAACTGTCATGTCTTTTTCTCAAATTTTTTACTAAAAATCACTCAGTGATGTCCACGTGGTATACACGTAAGCAAAGTCAGAAGAAAAAATTAAAAAACCGGGTTCAACTGTCCAAAAGTGTATTCTTCTTTTCAGTCGAGTCTTTCTTTTTCATTTTTCACCTGATTTTTTTTTTTAAATTAAAATCATTACAATTTTTATTACAGCTCCCGATTCTGTAAATCCGAAAATTTTCTTTTCTTTTTTCTTTTTATTTTCTCATCATAATCCCCACCTTCACCACCTACTGTCACTTCTCTCTTACTTTTTTTTTTAATTTTTAATTATTTTTTCTGCACCAAACTTTCCCCAACATGTCCTTTTCTCTGTCTCTCTCTCTCTTTAATTTACCGTTTCGTTTTTTAAGGAATTGAATTTTTAATAATTCTGTGATAAGAAAGCTTCATTTGTTTGAATTTGAATAATTTGGAGTGGGCATTGACGGAAAATTGTGTTGATTTTACGTCGGAATTGGGTCAATTATAATTGAATTTGAGAATCTGAATCGGGGATCTTGTGGTTTTGCGGGAAGAGAGGAGAATCAATTTGAAATGTGATCTGATTGGTGATAGAAAGAAAGGGTTTTGGATCCGATCAGGGGAGTAACAGCGCCATCAGATGGCGCTGTTCAGACGCTTCTTTTACCGGAAGCCGCCGGATCGGCTTCTCGAGATCTCTGAACGTGTCTACGGTAACTTTTTCTTCGCTCTCTTTTTTTTTGTTACTTTTTCTTCTTAATTTATTGTTCAATTTAGCTTTAAAATGTCGAAATCATCTTCATTCTACCCTACAAAGACAGTTTTTCAAATTCTCTGTTTGGAATATTTCTTTCAAAATTCTTAGCTCGATTTTTGATTTTATATTCATTTATGTGGACAATGCACTGCTTAATTTCTTGATTTTTAGGGTTTTGTTGATTAATTTTGGGTTATTTTATTACAATTAAGAAATTATTAATGATTTTTAGCTTGTTTGTCGGGGAGATAAGCTGAAATAAGGCGGCATAGTTGCCTTAAACTAGAATTACTAAATTGATTTGCTTTTGAACTTTGTAACAAATCACTTGGAGCTTAGAATCTGATATGCTCTCTCTCTCTCTCTCTCTCTCTCTCTCTCTCATATTGATGCATAAAAGTTTTCATACCATTTTCTATATAGATGTTTCTATTTGGAGATATAATTTGCTATTCTCCTTATTAGGAAAGTTCATAAATTCCTTTTTTTGAGCTTTTGTACTGAACTTTACAGTTAAGAACTTACCATATTATATTTTGCTTTTTGGAGGCATGTGGTTAAGAAGTATTGCTTATTTGGTTCAATTTTTTGTGTTGGTTGTTTTGCAGTATTTGACTGTTGCTTCTCTGCGGATGTATTGGAAGAAGATGAGTACAAGGTGTATATGGATGGCATTGTGGCGCAGCTACAAGACTACTCTCCTGATGCTTCTTTCATGGTGTTTAATTTCAGAGAAGGGGAGAGGCGGAGCCAAATTTCAGACATTTTATCTCAGTATGACATGACTGTTATGGATTACCCACGGCAATATGAGGGATGTCCGCTGCTGCCACTTGAAATGATTCATCACTTCCTTCGATCAAGTGAAAGCTGGTTGTCATTGGAGGGGCAGCAGAATGTGCTTTTGATGCACTGCGAAAGAGGAGGATGGCCTATACTTGCTTTCATGCTTGCTGGTCTTCTGTTATATCGAAAACAGTACAATGGTGAGCAGAAGACTCTTGAAATGGTCTACAAGCAAGCTCCTAGGGACCTTCTCCAGCTTCTGTCTCCTTTGAACCCTCAGCCTTCTCAGTTGAGATATCTTCAGTATATTTCTAGAAGAAATTTGGGTTCGGATTGGCCTCCCTCAGATACACCTCTATTTTTGGATTGTCTAATTCTTAGATTTCTTCCTCTCTTTGAAGGGGGAGAAGGGTGCAGGCCAGTTATACGTGTTTATGGACAGGACCCGAAAACACCAGCCAATAGAAGTTCTAAGCTCCTGTTCTCAACTTCAAAGACAAAAAAACAAGTTTGTCACTTCCTAAAGGTGATGCCTAAGTCACACAATTGAAACTGAAAAGATAAATTGACCAAAATTTGGGATTTCTAATAAGGTTTATCTGCAGGAAGAGTGTGCATTGGTGAAAATAGATGTTCATTGCCACATTCAAGGGGATGTTGTGCTTGAGTGCATCCATTTAAATGAAGATTTGGTACGTGAAGAGATGATATTCAGAATTATGTTTCACACAGCGTTTGTTCGAGGAAATATTTTGATATTCAACCGCGATGAAATTGATGTGTTGTGGGATGCAAGGGATCAATTTCCAAAGGACTTTAGAGCAGAGGTAGGTAATTATTATTCTGTGAATGTTTTTCTTTTCTGAGGCTGTAGGAGTTGAATGCATACTCTGTATCAGGTACTTTTTACGGATCCTGATGCTGTTGTCCCTCATCTCACCAGAGTTGTGGCAAATGAAGATGGGAGTGAGATAGAAAGTGCTTCACCAGAGGAATTTTTTGAGGTGGAAGAGATCTTCAGCAATGCAGTCGATGCGCTGGAAGGAAAGGTGGATGACAACAGTCTGATGGTTCATGACAACAAGCCAGAGCAGAAAGATGTCTGGAGGGAGGATGTGGATCCTCCTACATTTCAAGATTGTGCATCGGATGATGGGAATCGCAAACAGGATGTCAAGGTTGATTCTAGTATAGGTGCAGTGAAGGACATAGTTGTGGATGATGTGAATTACAAATTACATAAGAAGATGGATTCTGACATTAATGCTGTGAAAGACATAGCAGTTGATGATCGAGACATTAAGGTCGACTCAGTGGTGTTTACTGTTGATGTGCTGAGAGATGGAGAAACCAAGGAAGTGACAGAAGATGTGCTTGGCAAATTGGAAGACCCGGAAGATGAGGAGAAGAGAGAAGACACTGTTCCACTGAATATTTCAGAATCTAAGATGTTGCAGCAATGGTTGAAAACCGATGTTTCCAAACCTAAACCTGAGAAAATACTGCCTGCTTCAAAGAAACAGGCTGGGCTGGGTCCAAAACCTGCTTCTGATTCTGTTCTGGTGAAACCAAAGTGCAAAGAACTAGAACCTCAGGGCCCTTCTGCAAGACATGCAAAGCCAAATGTCATATCTCGGTGGATCCCTCCTAACAAAGGGTCTTATACCAATTCAATGCATGTATCATATCCGCCATCAAGATATAATAGTGCACCGCCTGTACTTACCAGCAGTGCAGCTTTGAAGGAATCAAATTCAGGTACCAACATAAAGGGCTCTACTGGAGCTGTGGTTTCAAAGGATGTTTCATCCGAGCAAAAAGGTGAGAAGTTTGAACCTATGAAACCTTCAGACCCTCCAAAAGAAATATCTTCCACTCCAGTAATTCCAACATTACCACCTGGTCTGCAGCAATTGGTGTGTGTTCCACCCAGCACTTCACCTCCACTCTCACCATCCCCACCCCCACCACCTCCTCCTCCACCCCCACCTCCACCCAGATCTTCTTTGTTTGTTTCACAATCTTTTCAGGAAAATGCAACATCTATGCTACCTCCCCCACCTCCTCCCCTGCCAGTAATTGGGGATGCTGTTTCTAGAATGTCACTTGCAGCATCACCTCCCCCTCCTCCACCTTCACCTTTCAAAGCAGCAAATGTACAGAATATTGGGATGGTTTTACAAAATGCATCAGCAGCTCCTCCTCCTCCACCTCCCCCTCCCCCTCCCCCATTGTCTAATAAGCAGACTGCTGCACTGGTGTCGTCTCCTCCACAACCTCCACCACCTTGGAAGTCTGGGTATTCTTCAGCTGCCCCTAGTGTACTACATTCTCTACCTACACAACCTCCTCCTGCACCCCCTTCTGTCAGATCATTAAGTACGTCAAAACTTGGTAATGTACGTCCTTTCCCTCCACCACCTCCCCCTCCGCCAATTCAAAGTGCTACGGCTCTATCTTTCATGCGTGGAGTGCCATCAGCCCCTCCTCCACCCTCACCCCCACCCCCTCCATTGTGTGGTGCTCCATTTCCACCTGCCCTCACGCCACCACCGCTTACTAGGCATGAAGCTTCGCCACCCCCACCTCCACCTCCACCTCCTCAGTATGGAACTTTGGCACCTCCACCGCCAGCATTATTGCCTCCTCGTCATGGTGCTTCTCCTCATCCACCACCACCACCTCTTTTGCAAAGAGCTCCACCCACACCTCCTCCACCACCCCCATCCCCACCTCCACCTCCACCTCCACCTCCACCTCCACCTCCACCTCCTCACTATGGAGTTTTGGTGCCTCCACCGCCTCCAATGGCTCCTCAGCACGGAGCTTCTCCTCCACCACCACCACCACAACCACAACCTCTTTTGCGAGTACCTCCAGCACCCCCATCGATGACTGGTGCCCCACCTCCTCCACCTCCACCACCCCCATTGACGTCTGGTGCCCCACCTCCTCCCACATTTGGAGCCCCTCCTCCACCCCCTCCCCCATTGCATGGAGTGCCACCTCCACCTCCTCCCCCACGTGGAGCACCACCCCCACCACCTCCACCTGCTCATGGAGCGCCAGCACCACCCCCGCCTCCAATGCGTGGAGCTCCTCCACCTCCAATAGGTGGAGCACCACCTCCACCTCCACCTCCTGGAGGTCGAGCTTCTGGCCCTCCAACTCCACCTGGAGCTCCTGGTGGTGGACCTCCTCCGCCTCCGCCCTTCGGTGCCAAGGCAGCTGACGTGAGAGGAAGAGGGCGTGGGCTATCACGTCCATCAGCTGCTACAGCACCTCGGAGATCTTCCTTAAAGCCTTTACACTGGAGCAAGGTCACAAGGGCAATACAAGGAAGCTTATGGGAAGAATTGCAAAGACATGGAGAGCCTCAAATGTACTATATCTTCTTATACTGATTTAGTTTTTTTTATAGTACACTTCCATAAGTGATAAATTTCTGACTAAATATTTATGCTAATATTCCATGGGATCATATGTTTGTATTACTCTTTTACATTTATTAATTTCCTAATTTGTATTTGCTGGCATTGCCTTTTTTCTCCTAGTGCGCCAGAATTTGATGTGTCAGAGCTTGAGACTCTTTTCTCTGCAGTTGTTCCTAAGCGTGCTGATTCAGGGGGTAAATCTGGAGACCGGCGCAAGTCAGTTGGATCAAAAACTGACAAAGTCCACCTGGTAATCTGGAATTTCATTTTTCTGAATAAGCCCTATACATCTATTTTTTTTATAGGTGATTGTGGTACTGTTACTTGAATCACCTTATTGGCTTGAGAGGGTACAAAGTCTGCACTCTTAGAAATTGAAGAATTTGTAATTTTAAGTATATAGTGCAAGATTCTACTTTGTCATGGAAAAAGGCATTCTAATCTTTGTCTTGTGGTTCAAATTAATGATATATGCATTCTCATTCTCGTTCTGGTTCTTGGAAGTTTTCCAAAAAGAGCTGCAAGTTGAAGATATTAATGAAGTTTTTATTCTATACACATAAATTTTTTTAACATAAGTATTTTTAAGCTATAAAATGGGAGGTGTCCTTTTCCCATCCCATAAATCCCGTCCCAGTCATACCAATATTTGAACCCAAGACCTCGATGATAAATTCTCAAGTCTTAACTGCTAGGGTGTCCTCTTGGGACTATGTACATTCTTTATGATTTATAGCCCTGATGTTCTCATGTTTTCTGTTTTGAATTTTTGGGACCTGATATTGATGTCAAAAATGCCTTTCTGGAAATGTATAAAATAATTTCTGTGTTTATTACCAATCTGGAACTTTGTAAGATCATTATAATGATAATTATTTCCCCCTTCTCCAATGTCATCGCTAACGAACTTTGTTTACCACATTGTAGATTGACTTGAGGAGGGCCAACAACACTGAAATCATGCTCACTAAAGTTAAGATGCCACTTTCTGATATGATGGTAAGCTGGATATGGTCATGTTCTTGCATTTATTAGTGTTTTTTACACAACTAGAGGAAGTGTGTCTGGTATTCTCATTTATATAGATGTGAACCTCGAACATGGCAGTTTTCCACATAATACACATGGCCAGGATGATAAGGTTATTTTATTCATGTTGTTTTGCTAGTGGTTGCACTTAAGTGCCCTGAGATGTGGTGTCCTTAGGGCCATTGACTGACTTAGTGAACAAATAGGTGAAAATGGGATTTTCTTTGAATTGATTCCTTCTCTCTTATTTTGTTTTCCTTTTTCTCCTTAGTTTTAACTAAAGGTTATCGGTTATATTTGTTTACTAACCATATAGAGCTTCATCCATTTTCTCAGGCTGCAGTGCTAGCAATGGATGATACAGTATTAGATGTTGATCAAGTCGAAAATCTCATAAAATTTTGTCCAACTAAAGAGGAAATGGAACTTCTCAAGGTGGAGCTTCAGCATATATATAGATTCAGTATCGGATTTTAAGCTATTCAGAACTGTTTTTGATGCAGTGTAGGAATCCATTTACCATTACAAGTTTGTCTTCTTTGATTATGATTTACCCTCATGATTTTTTAGGGCTACACTGGTGACAAGGAGAGCCTAGGGAAGTGTGAACAGGTCTGCAAATTTTTCTCAAACCATATCTTCTAATTTTGTCAAATTGTTAGACTTGGGTTCTTACATTGGTGAATTGATAGATGATTGCATGGCCATTGACCTGTTACAAGTGCACTTTTCTGAAAATTTATTTGTCTTTGACTTCATGTTCTTCTAAATTTTGACCATCTAACTTTTTTGCTTCCGAGCATTTGGCTCAATGGTTGGTGCATACTTCTCCCCTACTCAAAGAGGTTCAAATCCCACATCCCCCAATATGAAAAAAATCTTTATGCCATCCAGTTTAAGATTTTTGTTTTAAAATGAAGATGCTATGATAATGAAATATGTTATCTGGCTTGTTTGAAGCGTCTTTGAATGATTCATATTACCATTTTTATTTGAAGTCATTTTTTTATGGAGTGAGGCAAACACATTTAAAAACTCCCCCCACCTCTCCCCCCTCAAGTTCTTTTTATTTTCCTCCATCCCCTCTTGTAATGAAAGGAGACTACAATTTCATGTATTTATGTATGCATTTATACCATATAATACTTCCTCTATCTTTGTTTGAGTCTCTCCTTTTCTGTTTCTAGATGTATCGAATTAAGTGTTTATTTTCAATAATCCAGACATATTTGTTCTTTACTTCACAAATTTATACTTTGTAAGACCCTTTGACATTATTCTTAATGAGACACTTTAGCGATGAGATATTCTTTCCATATTATAGGTTAAAGATGGTAATTAATGTCTAAGCATTGATTTGCTTTTATGTTTTTGCATTTTTGATAAGGACTTGTAAACCAAGATGAAGTTTGTACTTGTGAAAGCTACTATCTTTCCCTACTATTATTTTTGGAACAATTGATGCCTGATAACTCCTTAATGAAGATAGTAATTCCAGCTATATTTGTATAGTAAATAAAAACATGAATCTAGATGAATCTGTAATGCTAGTAAATAAAAAGCCTAATCAAGGAAGATGCACAAGCAATAACAGAAATAATGTGTGAGAATCTCAATGTCTTGGCAGCAACTTAGTTGATCTAGCAGCAGAAGCTGTTGGATTTGGGAAGAAGTGTAGATTTCTCTTGTTGGGCATGCAGAGCTGGTGTCTTGTAATTTTTTCTAAAGTCAATGCTGAAGAGTACTTTAGTCTCTAATATCCTTTTTCTTTTACCTTGTTTTTGTGTGTGTGTGTGTATGATTAAGGATGTATTATCATCATTAATAGCTTCATTGAGAAAGTGCTGCATTATTCATGAGCGTGAATACAGTTAAGATTGTTGCCTGAAAGTTTGGTAATTTGGATCATTATTTTCAAACAGAGGGGCCATTAGTTATGTATTTGATTATTGATCATGTTCTTCTATAAAATTTTTATTTTGTTTATTCATTGTTTTATTCTCATTCTGAGAGATGATAAGCTAGTTAACTGACTGAAATAAATATTGGAAAAGTACATATTTGCCTTTAGAAAGGAGTGTGGTCTTGGATGGGTGTATATGGTTGAACAGTTAGGAGACATATTTGATCCTTCTTTTGATTTTGTGGAGATTGAGAATAGAAGGATGTTTCAGGGAAGAATTACCCTTAAAAAAGCTCCTCAGCTTTTATACACCTCATTTTTATTAATAAATAGGCAGCTGTGAATCGAAGAGCAAGAGGCTATTGATTTTATATATCTGTTGTTCTGTTAAAGTTAGCTTTGTACTTTCATTTGGAACTCCCTTGGCTCTTTTTAGTGATATGGGTTCTTTGCTTATTCTAATAAAGGGAAAAAAAGAAAGAAAGGCCAGATAAAGTTTGTTATATTACTATATTTTGGTTGATCCAACGTTAAGAAGATAAATAAAGCACTAGAGAACATATAGCATTTCTGCAAATACAAGATAACAACATTCTGGTATTCTCTTTTATGAAGAAACTCTAGCTAAAACAATAAGTTCCTGGATGCTTCTCCAGTTACATCTATCATTTGATCCATCTTTGCAAAAACTTATAAACCCAAACTGGCTTTTGATTTTTCGTGTACAGTACTTTTTGGAGCAGATGAAAGTGCCACGAGTAGAGTCAAAATTAAGAGTGTTTTCTTTCAAGATTCAGTTCTTCTCTCAGGTTTGGCAGTATCTCCATAGTTAATCTGATTTTGTAAATTTGCAATATTATTTAATAATTAATCTCTTGTATGCTTTCTCCCTTTTGTTTTGTTGAATCCCCTGTTTGACCTGTGTTCTTACACTTTTTACCATCTGCAGATTTCTGAATTTAAAAAGAGCTTAAACACTGTAAATTCTGCCTGTAATGAGGTATATCATTAATGTTGCTGAACGGACTTGACTGCTGTGTTTATTCATTCTTTGTCTTACTACTTTTTGTATTGGCTATATAGGTACGAAATTCCCTTAGATTGAAGGAAATCATGAAGAAAATTCTCTATCTGGGAAATACATTGAACCAAGGAACTGCAAGGGGTAAGTGATATATTCAAAATTTCTTTTGGCTCAAGTCTTTGATGCTAGAGCTGCAGCTTATAAAATATCATGTAGAGAAGAGATTTGCTAGCCAAAATGTATTACTATGATGTTTGTCTAGACTCGTGCATTTGAATAATACTTGCTTTGATGTTTACCTGCACTATTGCTGGTGAGGTTAAGGTACTGTATTTTGAGCTGCATTCCTGCATCTTAAACTGGAAATCTTGTTGGTCTTTGTAGTCCTAGGGCATAGATTACGGTGTTGAAAGTATGCTTATCATTTCTGATAGTTTCTATCAAATTCTATTAAGGTTTGCTTATGACCTCATGTGCTAACTTCCTGTTCTTTAGAAGAAATGGAAAATGTTATCTGGATGTCATAAGAAAAGTGAAGCTTGTTTTTCTGAACTTTGCATATTTGTTCCTTGTTTGTGTCTTAATTTTAGATGTGGCTGGATATCTCAGAGTCTTGGTGTTTATCTGGGTTCTAATTCCATAGATGTCTACTAAATTGTACTTTTGATAGTGCTTGAGCAATGTGATTCCTAAGGCATGTGCTTTAATTCTAAATCAAAGGAAGATTGCTTCACTGGTGCAAATCATCAACACATTCTTGTCAATAGCTAGAGGTTTAAGTAGATTATGCATTTATGTCTTTTAATGTCCAATTTCCACATCTATGACTTTCATTTTGACTTTTATACGCTGCTGGTGTCAATCAATTTTTTATCCATCATTAGGCTACTAGTTCCAATTTTTTTTTTTTTTTTTTTGCCAAAACTACTAGTTTCAGGTGTCATGTCTGTTTTTTATGCATTTAATGCTGATCAACTATTCAGATTTGAGTTGGTGAAATTTTTTTGACTTCTGCATGTTCCTTTAATATGAGGTTTCAAAGCATTCCTATTATACAGGTTCTGCTGTTGGATTTAAGTTGGACAGTCTTCTAAAGCTCACAGATACACGTGCTTCTACAAGCAAGATGACGCTAATGCATTATCTTTGCAAGGTTTGGTTACTAATTATCTTATTCTCTGTGGTGTTATTAAGGTTATTCTGTTTCTTGTAAGGTTTGCCTGAATTATGTTTTACACTTGAGTTCATATGTTACATTACTACTGGAGACTTCTTTCTGATGCAAACAGCAACTGTCAATTTGAATTGAGTCTCAACTGTGTTTTATTGTGGTTCAGGTCCTAGCTGCCAAGACACCGGCACTTTTAGATTTTCACCTGGAATTTGTTAGCCTTGAGGCTGCAACTAAGGTTTCCATCAGTCTTTTAGCGTTTGAGGTCTGTAGTTTGGTAACACTATGTTTAGTTTGAAGCCTTGTGCCCTTGCAGATACAATTAAAATCTTTAGCAGAAGAAATGCAAGCTATAATTAAGGGATTAGAAAAGGTTAGGCAGGAGCTGGTTGCCTCTGAAAATGATGGTCCTGTGTCTGAAGTTTTCCGGAAGGTACATAGTTTTTTCAATGCTTTTTATTCTTCAACATAAATATACAAGATTTGTTGCATTGTCTTCACTATAATTTACCTCATTTCAAATATTTAATTCAGTAACATTCCATATTTGACCATCAATGGAGTTCCTGCTTGTCCACTAGCTTTTTTTTTTTTAACCCTTTGCATGTGTAATTATTTTATAGAATAGAATAAGAGAAATATTATGTAAACATGACATGCCCCTAAAAGCTGAGGTCAGTAAATTAACAATCGGAGTAGTACAAGTTTATAATGCAAAAACATTAGCTTTGATACAGAAGTGATTATTGCTAATATAATGGAATATTTACTAATAAAATAATATAGTTAGAAATAATCTTTCCTATTTGAAAGTTCCTTCAGATAATGTTCATGGTAGTCCTTTCCAATTGAAACACCATCGGGTTTATCTGTTGTTTTCTGATGCAATGGAGTGAGCATTTGTTATGGCCTTGTTACCTACATCAAACACTATCAACTGCTTTTTATTTGTCAGGAGAATACTTCCATTATTCTAACGTTTCTTTTTTCTCCGTTTTTTTTTTTTTTTTTTTAATTTAGACATTAAAGGAATTCATTTCTGTTGCTGAAACAGAGGAGGCATCTGTATCAAATCTATATTCTGTGGTGGTAATTTGCCAACTGTTGACATTCTCTTCGATACGCCATCTAATGTCGTCCAACCATTTTGATTTTGTCTTCAATCATTGATTTTTTTTACCTTTTTGGTGTACAGGGTAGGAATGCAGATGCACTTGCACTCTACTTTGGTGAGGATCCTGCCCGATGCCCATTTGAGCAAGGTAGATTGTTTATATAATACCTTTCGCACCTATTATGCCTAAGTACTTATCTACAATGTGCCTAATGAGAATGTTAGAAGAATGCATTTTATTCACCTATCTTTCTCTCCTTTTTCTTCAACACCACAATTCAACCTCCTTTTCCCCTTTCCTTGTCCCCCCATCAAATGGGAAAAGGGAATATCACTCGTAATATGGTTAATGGGCCAAATGTTTCGGGAAGTTGTCTTGTTAGGGCCGAAAGAGAAGGAAATTCTATTGGAAGAAGTAAAAAAGTAAAGATGAGGATGAGCATCTTATTTAGAGAAGGATAAAGGTGATTTGTGATTGAATTTAGAATGTTTATCATTTTTAGGAAACTGAATTACTTGTTAAATTATGGAGAAAAGCAAAGATGGGATAATTAAGAGAAAAAAAAAAGATATAGGGAAGTAATGGCCTGTCTAGTTTTGGGAAATATTTCCATTTTCCAGCTCCACATTTGACTCTAACCATGATCAATAAAACAAGGTAAATAACCAAATATGAAAAATTAGAGAAAAGGGTTCCAAACTTAGTTAAAAGACAATTGAAAGTAGTTGTCCAGTTTTTTTAGAAAACTAGAAAACAAGCTTTACAAACTTTTTGTTTTTCTTATTTGATTGATCATGTATAGAGTAAAAGTAAAAGCAAAATGGAAACACATTTTCCTAGACAAAACAGGCCCTAAGTTGTTCTATGTTTTTTCATAAATTTTTTATCATAAAGCAAAAGCAAATGGTAAAAAGTAAATGTATATTTGGTTAAAAAAGGGAGGAAATGGCTTAAAAGTACCACCAACTTACACAAATGGTTTTATGTTGAAATAAAATCATGCTTTTTTTCATAGAATTCAACTTTTAAATTGTCAGATCTTCAAAAATATCTTTGTTTTTATATGAACACTCATCTTTTGGTTTGTGCTTTGTACCTTCAAAAGCAAATAGTCAATAGTAAAAGCAACAACAAAAAAGAACCTAATTTTATTTTACTTAGGATTCTGTTTAATATTCATGTATCAGAGTCTATCCTGAGATAGGATTATGTTTATTTCAATCTAAATCGACATGTTCCTTCCCAGTGTTCTGGTTTTATATCTTGATTTGAAGTTGAATTTGGCCTTATCTGATGCTGTATTGATCAATACAGTTACTGCAACACTCTTAAATTTTGTGAGGTTGTTTCGAAAAGCACATGAAGAGAATTTGAAGCAAGCTGAATTAGAGAAGAAGAAAGTTGAGAAGGAGGCTGAAATGGAGAAGGCTAAGGGAATTAACCTTACAAAGAAGGGTGCAAAATAGTTGAGGATCGGTTTCTCTATTCCTACAAAGGTAATATGCTCCTGCCTAGCAGCAGATGTCTGTGCTGAAGAGTTTGACTGAAAGACAGGAAATGCTGCTTTTGAGGACTGTTGAGATGCCTCCCATTCTCTGGTATTGGTGCAATTTTTTAAGCCTTCAGAGATGTTGTAAATGAGGCAAGGGCCTTGTCCTGGAGGCTAGCAGGCCTTGAACTATGCCTAAGGCTTCAGGAGACATTTTTTATGGGGAAGATTTCAGTCCCATTACTGTGAATGATCAATGAATTTTTGGAAGTAGATGTCAGATGGACAAAGCTTCTAAGCAGAGTGGTTCATCAAGGTCACTGCTATGGCCCTTCTAGCATTATTTTCAGAAGGAAATTTATAGTCATGGGCCAGCATTTCGCAATGTTAGCCGATCTCTTTTCAGCTTCCGCCATTCATTTGGCATATTTTTTGAGCACCTGAGCGGATGTCCATGGGATCGGAAAGCCGGAAAGTCCCACTGTACCATGAAAACGTGTAGTGTACAAAGATTTAACCACTTACGGTAGAATTCAATTCATTTTTCTTGTAACATAATCATTTTCCTTTTTGTTTCCTTTCGTGAAAAAAAAAAATTTGAGATTTTTTACAGTAGCCCATCATAGAAGAGATTGTATAGGTTTTTAGGTTTTAGAAAAGGGAAATTAGAAGAAGGGCTTTCTTAGAGTAATTGTAATATAGCACCAGAATATAGCTGTTTCATTTGATTTGATTCCTGAATCAAGAAGTAATTCATGAAATTGTTTGTTCCCTCTCTCCTCTTTTAACTATTACCAAAAATGGAAATCTTCATAATTGGTTATCTTTATCCTTATTTAGAACATTCCATTTGTAGTTGATTCACATGGAGAATAGAGAACATTTCATTGGTTTTAGTAAGCACAGTAAGCGCCCAACAATTTTTCGGGCCTAAGTAAAGTTAAGGAAGGACTAACCGTTGCTGGATTTTCCTTTTTTTTTTTTTATTTTATTTGGGGGGTTATAAAGGAGATTCTAAGTGTTATGATTTGCCATTCAAATCGGTTTGATGTTATTTTAAAAAAATAATTGAATAAATTAATCAAATTAAATTTAATCTTTAATGTTGGATTTTCATTATTGATTAAAATCCATCATACTTTTCTTTTGTTTTTTCTCTTTTATTATAAAGAGATCGGTAACACCTTTTATCCTACATTTATGAGATACATTGCTGTTTATATGCAAAGATTTTGATCCATACTCATGAGAATTTTTTAAGACAAAAACGTGACAATCAGAGCAATTATCATCCAGAAGTGTGAAACAAGTTTTGAAAAAACTTACTATTCAAAATCCAAGATCTCTGCACAAATCCTTCTTAAATTTTGTTTCCAGAGTTAATTAAGCAAACCCTCCATGTGCAAATGAAAGGGAGGGTTTTTTTTTTTTTTTTTTTTTAAATATAGTAGGAGATCCTCTCTTCCCTTGGTAGTAATTATCGTCAATACCTTGGTTGACTTGATCAAGGTCTAATGATCCTATAGCAGAAACCAAAGCCAATGTGTCCTCAACTATGGTAAACACCAAGTCAGCCAGACCTGGCTAAATCCTCTAAATATGCCAAATTTCAAGAATATTATATTGAATAACAAAGCTATCTGCTGCTCTCATCTCTGGTTTCTTCTTTGTTTTGATGTTGAGATCTCTCTTGTGATATGTATTGCTTCACCGAATACACAAATATTTGACTTGTAATGATGATCTGTTAGTTTTGAAATCAACTTCGAGGTCTTGATTTCGAACCTCCACAATTATTGGGATTATTAGTTCAAATTGAATTGAATTACTCAAAATTAAATTAAATTATTTTATTTTTGTTAATCAAATTAAATTTATTAATTTTAAAAATTAATCAACCAAATTTAGTTCTCAGTTCTCTTAATTTTTTTATTAACCGAATAATAAATATATTGAAGTTAAATTATATTTTAAACTCTTAATTTATAATATTTTAAATAAATTAAATAAAATTTCTAATAAAATATTCAAATATCAAAATATTATATTAAAAACTTTAATAACTTACGAAATAAAATAATTCATTTCAGGTGTTTTTTATTTTATATTTGGATTATATTATCTTTTGATTAAAATTTCGATTAATTTAACTTTCAAATCGAATTAATTGAAAATCTAAATTTTTAAAAATTATTTTCATTGATCAACCAAAATTAATTCGATAATTGACTGATTAATTTCACTAAATTAATTGGGTTGGTTAATTGAGTTAAAACTAAACACTCCTGTGGATCATAACCCAAAATATAAAAAAGAAGTTCCATTTGTCCATGGTAGATATTTTTAACCCTAAGCATATCTAAATTGATTTTTTCTGAGATTTAATATTTCCTTGATCATGGCATGCTAGGTACATTTTGTAATATGAAATTTTCTTTCTTCTTTTTTCAGTATTTAGTTTTGTTTACAGAACATTCATGAACAGTAGTTTCCAAATTCTAATACAAAATATTAGAATTTTAGAAGGGATAAAAAAAAACTGGAGTATGTGACAGAGAAATTGATTACAATGAAAATTTTTTTTCCTCGTCTGCTTCTTGACTCGATTCTATATTGCATATATGGATCTTTAAATCTCAGAAGTTGCCTGGTTTCTGTTCAAGTAACAGAAATGAATCTTGAATACAAATATTATTTGTATGAATTTATATGTGCAGTCTTCTTCTTCTCTCCCTTCGAAATTCAAGAAAAGAATTGGATGATCCCTGGTTGTTTCTTCCAATGTTTTCTATGGCAGTTCTTCAATATTCTTCAACTCCACATAAGCATTACCATCTTCCTCTGCAATTTCAACCCTGTACGAGTATCTGCTATCCAGGTCTCTTAAAGAACCTGTCTTGCAGCTTTTGAAGAACATGCAACTCACAACAGTATCAAGAACAATAAATGTGGAGTACAAGTAAGCAATTAATATCCCTTCTAAAGCTGTTGGAAAGCTGGTCATATTACCAGTGTGATATGCTCTCACAACCCGGTAATGGAAGAGGGCTTCAATGGCTCCCAGGACCAGACTGACAGGTACTGCCAATGTTAAGGCGGTTGAAGTTCTTCCCCTGATCAGAACACAGGCCTTGAGAATTGCCATATATCCACTGGATCTTTCCATTCCTGATGAAATCAATGCTAAGTTGCATACTATGAGGGCATTGGCAAGAATGATAGAATAAAGAACAGCACCTGCAGCTGACAGGAAGAGGAGCCAATTGGGGGATGAGAATCCAAACCCTTCAAGAAAATTGAAGGCAAAGAATAAAAGGGAGAAAGCTGTTGCATTTGCTGAGACGAGTAAAAGGAAATTGCATATATGGGTTGCCAGGAGAGGCTTGTAAAGGGAACAAACTGAAGAGAAAGAAGGTGGCAAGTTTGGTTTATGTTGGTTGAGAAGTTGAATTATGGAGGATTTGGCTATGAGGAGGAAAGAAAGGGTGAAAGGAAGAGTGAATATACAGGAAGAGATGGTTTGGGAAATCTTCAAACTGAGAATTGTGAAGAAATCTGAGGAAGGAGGGAACCCTGCAGCCTGGAAAAGAATCCTGAGACGATTATGAACTGTTGGCAAGACAGGAGAGGAGGGAACAAACACCTGTGAAAGGAGAATTGAGGCTGAGTAGGGAAAAGCAAGAACTGCAGCTGTTGCTGTCAGGTACTGATAGTTTTGAAGGAAGGTGTAGATTGATTTTCTCAAGATCCTGCTCGCCTTCTCCATCAGAATTCTTGGGCTGTCTTCCATTCCTGAGAGGGAGGAAAGCATGAAATCTGTGTCTTACCAAAGTGCCTCTCTCTATATCAGAGAAGGATTCAAGCAAAGCCTTGATGTCTCCCCTTTTTTAAGTTTTCTTGTACTGCTGTTCTTTTTGCTCTTTTTCTCCCTCCTTTTTATGGTAGTCCAGAGGACTTTGAAAGGAGAGGGTGGGTTTTCAGCAATGAATAAGATTGGCCAACAACTAAAAACTAACAAATTTGCAGAGTTGGAGTTGTTCGGTGATTGTTTATAACAATGAGACTCTTTGGACTCATTGGGTTACCATCTTTGTAATCTCCAATCACCCATGTTAGTTGGCCAATATAAGAACTCAGGGGTAAAAAAAAAAATTAAAATAGGTAATTTTTTATGAATTTATTAAACCCGATGTGTTAGATAAAACTCAAAATTACCATTACACTTAAAAAAATACTAAAAAAAAAAAAAAGCAAAAGAAACTACTATGACTTAATTTTAACTCTCCTGATAATGCAAAAGAATAGCTTGTTTTTTAGTTCTACAATGAAACTCATTATTATATGTATTAATGCTAGTGTTATTCTCATGTATATAATCTTTAATGGATCTTCAATCATATGATACTTCATACTTTTCATGTGGTTTCAATTTCTCAAGATCAACTTATAAATTTAACAAATATTAAGATTTCTGCCATTTTCAACATCAATTAGAGAAAGGAAAAACTATTGAGGAGATATGATTTTGTCAAATTTAGCAAAAGGGTTTTGACAAAAATAAACTAATAAATTCTATGATGGACAACAAATTAAAATCAAACCCAAAAAAGGAAAAGTATTTGCTAAATTTTACTAATAATATACTTCAAGCCTCTTATTTAGTTATGTTTCACATGGTGGGGGATTGATTCTTTGCTTTCAAGAAAATAAATAATAATAACTATACAAAAGAAAAGGAAATCTTAAATACCAAGATGGAAAGATGGCCTTAGGCTTCATATATTATAAATCTAATAATTATAATGAGAAAAGGACCCCTTCCTCACCCAAATCATATCCTTTCATAAGTGGTCCTCCCTCTTAGTCCCATTGTTCTATACTCTTTTTTTAATCTATAATTAGGTGCTAATTTAATATATCAATCTCATATTTTCATGTATACTATGAATTTTTCAATATCAAATATTAATTGTTACGGTTATGTTAATACGGATTTATATATAAGTAAATATAATTGATTTGTTGAATTTGAAATTTAGATCAATTGGTTCTTACAATTATTTTCTCAAGAAATATATTTAGTAAATTTAAAATTTTAATTTTAATATCTACAATCTCTTTTTTTATTATTAAATAAAACTTTTTATTTTACAAAAAAATAATTAATGTGTTCATGATTATGTAATCTGTAAACAGATAATTAAATTTTTAATTTTAATGATTACGAAATATAGATTGAAATAGGATAATCTTTTAACATATGTATTTCACAACCCTTTAAAATGATATTATAATTAATTAAGTGAATTGTACATTAAGTAATTAATATAAAATTAATGGAAATTAACCTAACCTTAAGTCCATGGGTCCCTAGAAGGTGAGGTATTATGAAGTTGGTGTGTAGTCGTTTTGACCTGGTTAGTTTGGTAAGGGATCCTTCTTTGCATAATAATAATAATACTATTATTATTAATATGGCATTTTATATTTATTTTTATTTATGGTTTATATTTGAAAGAGTAGTTGTTTAAGTTGGAAGGAATATAATAAAGGATGATAGGTCCATAGCCATTGTTGAAGGGTCAAAATTATGTTTTAAGTGACTTTCTAACTAAAAAAATATTATTATAATTAATTCATGATTTGCTTTTTATAAAATTAGATCTAACTCGATTTTGAATTAATCAAAAATCAAAATAATTATGGATATTAAAATATTTTAGACCAAAAAAATTATTATAATTAATTAAGAAAATCGTTTGAACAAATGTGAAAAAAAAATCCCTCTTAGCCATAAAAAATTTTGATTTATAATTTTACATATAAAATAGTATAGTTTAAGAAAAAAGAAATTTGAAGTTCAATTTTAAAAAAAAAATTGTTGGTGTATATTAATATTCCATCTATCTCATTTTCTTTGTCTACTTTTTCTTGGAATGTTCCAAAATTATGTTTTTTTTTCTTTTTTAAAGATCTAAAATTCTTATTTTTTATATTTTAAAATTATATTTTAATAATTATTTTATTTTTTAACATTAAAAATCATGAAACTTTAATTTTAATATTAAATACGTTAAAATCAAATTTTTTTTAAAATTCCATGAAAGTCAATACTATTAAAATAATTTGAAACAGAAAAAGTATATAATATGCTTTTATAGTTAGCGTAGGTTTTATTAATCAAGTGTTGGTTATGGAATCCATTTGTTAATCATAAAAAAAAATTATTAAATTTTAACTTAATTAATTCATAAAATCATCCTTAAAATTAGTATTCAATAAATTTAGTGTTTAAATTTTAATATTTATAACTCATTTTTTATCTTAAAACTACGAACTTCTTTATATAAAAAAAATAAATCATCTTTTCGATCTCGAATTTCAATAATTAATACCTAAACTATATGTTATGAGTTTGCATGTAGCTTTGAAGAGGTTTATTACTATCATAGGATTTGCTTGATGAACAATAATTTAAGTTTTATTCTGCTTGTTGCTTTAACTAACAACAGCTAGATTTCAATTCCTTGTCTTAAAACATTTTCCATCTTTTTCTCTCAATGGGATAAGAAACTCACCTATTGCAATAAAATTTAAGTGAAAAAAAAAAAAAAAACTTTTGTTGAATACTTCTTTTTTAAAATACTCAACTGTTTTTTGAAAATATTATTTAAAATTAATTGATTAGATTTGTTGGAACTTACTGGTTCCATAGACTAAGCATATGGCCAAATAACAGATAATAATCTCTTAAAGATTTTTTTTTTAGTGATTTAATAACTCTAAAATAAAGCAAGAATAATGTGAAATAATGTGATTGTAGATAATGGATTGGGAAAAATGCAAGCAGCAAAAAATAAAAAATTACTTTTGACAAAAATATTGAGTAAATTTTTTTTTTTAACTATAAAATAAATTGTAATTTAAAAATATGAAAGAATTACAAATATTGATATTTGAATTTAATTTGTTAAATATTTTTTTAAAAGTAATTATTTGAATTAATTGAATTAAATCTCACATTCAATGTTCAATCAAATTATTCAAACTCAAATTTTCCTTTATTTTCAAAAGGATTATCTAAAAAAGAAAATTAATTTTGTTGTTATTATCCTCCAACTTCTGACCTTTGTATGGTATTCCACTTTTTGGGTTGTTTGAAGAAAAATTCAAGCAAGGGAATGATGTTTTAGTTGAAATTTTGGCTTTGCTGCTCAAGTAGTTGGAAGAGTAAATTAAGTAACCAAGGAAATTAAAAATAAAGCCTTGAAGTTTGGAAACCCCTTCCCCCCCCTCCATGCAAGATTTTTTAATTTTAATAATTAAAATTTAAATTTTGATAATTTTAAATATATAAAAAAATTTGAAGACTTTTTTGTGATATGTTTTATCTTTGATAAAAATTTTTAAATAAACATAATAAAAAATTATTTCTTCGATTTCGAGTCATTAAATTCTTTATTTTAGTATATAATTATAACAAAAAAAAAACAAAAAAATTTGAACAGTTTATCGAGTTAACATAAGAGCTAAAGATGTTAATAGATAAGTTATAGAGTAAAGTATTCTTTATATTCATCTATGAATTTTTATATTATATCTATCTCTATACTCATATGTAATGAATATTTTAAATCTATCATCATCTCCATCTCTGTGAATATTTAATGAGTATGAGAATCCTTATATTCATAACTTTTTAAAAATTAAAAAACAAAATTTATTTTTTAATTTTTATCTTGTATATTTAAATAATTTTTTATAAATATATATTAATATATTTTTTAACAAAATATTTTAATTTTAATTAATTTAAAATAATAATTTATATCATTTAATTAAAAAAATATATTTACTATATATATAAAATACGAGTATGAAATATGTGTAATTTTTTATTTTATATTAAATAAAAATTTAAAATTATATTTATCTTGATTATCGTATTTATAATATAATATTTATTTTATCTCTATTCGAATAAAAAATAAAATTTTTTATTAAATATAACTAAGATTTTTATCTCAATCCATTGATTAATTTGTACGAATTGACAAAGTAATCTGCCGAAATAATTAAATTATTGAAAAGTGATGCTTAAGTTGTTAACAAATAAACAAAAAAACAAATACTTTTCAATGCCTTTCAGCTGTCCCAACTTTTTGCCGACAATTTTTTTTTCTTTTTTTCTTTTCTGAAGCGAAGTTTTATTAAAACCAGTCTAACGAAAAATGAATGAAGCACCGACACTTACATAGGTTGTTAGAACATCCTTTTTACATTTTGGAAATTACTCAGATTCGGTGTTGGTTAAGGGTTTAAAAAGGAACAACATGGAAAATCTCTGTTTTTTTTTTTTTTTCTTTTTGTGATTTGATGAAAAATTTTTACTTTTTTTTTTTTTTATATATTTCAAGAGAAACAGAATCTTACGCTAAGAGAGAAGCGAGAGATTAAAGTCGAACCCTTGTCTTGTCTCTTTCTTAAGATATTCTTAGCCTATTTCTTTAATTTACAAGCAATGATGTCTAATTTAAAATTTTTTGCTTATTTTAATTTATATCACTCAATGGTCAGCTAAAGAAGTTATTAAGTTTTTATTTTCTTTTTCTTAATCAAAATAAATTTTTAAGTTTTATTTGAATCTAATATCGAACTATTTTAAAAACTAATTTCGGTCATTAAAAACTTTTATTATTCTTTTTTTTCTTTTTGGGAGGGTGGTGTTGTGAGAGATTAAACAACTTGGGAAGTGTTATGCCTAAGTTAACTAATCAACTATCAACTTGATTAAAGTTTGGTTAATACAATTATATTTTGGGGTTATTCCATTAAGGCACGTGTAGACACTCATGTTACTTATTTCGTGGAAATGGTTCGTCATTTATTAAAAGAAGAATTCATTTAAGATCTCTTGATAATTTATCGAGACAATCACTTTAAATTAATATTTGACATTTAATTTATTTAAAATCATTAAATATAATCTAATCTTATTTAAAATTATTAAATACGATTCATATTTATTGAAGTAAATTCTTTTCAAATTTTATTTAAATATCTCATCAATTATTAATTGTTTCAGTCAAGCATTGCCTCTTGATCTCATACATAAAGTAATTGAAAACCAAATACATAAGAGAAAATCCTATTTATTACACACTTAGCTTTTCCTTCATTGAAACTTCTTTCAACACTTCATCACTTTCATATCTTTTCCTCCTTCCTTCCTTATCTCAAATACAATATTAATTTGAGTGTTGAAGTGTATCCCAAAATAACAATTTTGACGGCCCTTAATTGTGTTTTTTGACTATAAGTTTAAGTTAGTCTTCTTTCTAATCTCACATTCTTCTAACTAAGATAACCCAATAACATATCGACAATAAGCACGAGCAATCTTAAATTTTTATGAAAAATTTTATTAATTTATACAATCATTTTTTAAAAAATATCATTCAACAATTTAGTTTTTGAGGCTTATAATTTATGAAAAAAAAAAAAAAAAAAGAATTGCACTAAAATCAAAGTAAGACTGGCCCAAATGATTCCATTGGGTTCAGCTTTCCTGGTACAAAGACAACAAATGGAATCACATTATTACTATATAGAATATTGAGACTCCTTCACATCTTTATTTGTTAACTTTTAAACCCCCTTTACATCATTGTTTGGCTCTACTTCTCTTTACTTTTGTTAAATATTGAGAAATAAAAGTAATTAATAATGAGAAATGAGGGTAAAATTTTTGCAAGTGTTAAAGAAATCAAAGAGAAATTTTGTTTTAAATGTTTGTTTATCTATACAAGAAAAGTTCAAGAATCTAAAGAACAATTTTGAATGATTAATGAAAGTGATCCCAAAACTAAGCTTAATTACAAAGATTGTTCTTTTTCCTAAACAACTTGCTTATCCATTGAATCAAACCCAAAAAGGGAGAGGGAGGGTCAATTTTGTTTAGTATAAAGACCATAAAGCTACTTTTTGCATTACTTTTGGTTGCCTTTCTAGTTTTGAAGAGAATTTCCCTTTTAGTAAAGAATTTGGAAGCTAATTTAAACTTCAATTATGATATTTTTTTTATCATATAAGATATAAAATAATTTAAAATAAATTTAATCAAGTGCAATACATGGATGATAATTTTATTTTTTTATTATTAAAAATTATGAGATTCTAAAATATCAAACTACTCGAGTCATTTTCCCTTCAATTTTCAAATGGATTATCTTTAAAAATAAAATAGTGGTTGTTAATTGTAATTGTCCTCCAACTTATGGTTTAAAAGAAGGATTCAAGCAAGGAATTGATGTTTTTTTACATGAAATTTTGAGTTTACTGCTCAAATAGTAGGAAGAGTAACATAAGTAGACAAGGAAATTATAAACAAAAGTCTTGAACTTGAAGTTTGGAATTTTTTTTTTACCCACACACATGCAAGAGAGGAGTAGTAGGGTTCAATTGAAGTTTTTGCCCCAACCCTAATCTCCATTAAGCTCAAGTAGCCTAAAAATAATATATATTTGCATTTAATGATTTAGATAATGAGCATGTAAAATCCCTATACGCAAGATTTATATTTCAGCAACTCATTCAATCAGAACATCTAGAAAAGATGGGCAAAAAGGTTAAAGAACAAGAAGCTTGAATAAAAATCTTTCTTATATACAAAGTCACTTTGTACAATCCTCAAGGCTCTAACAATGGCATTGCTCAAACCAAATGGTTAGTATTCTACATCCCTCTTCAAAAATTGCATGGTTAACATAATGGTACACTAAAACTAACCCAAAAAAGAAAAAATGGGGGGCAAAAATGATACAACCAACCAACAGAAAATAAACATCAGCAGCAACATCCTCAACTAATTACTATTACATCACATTCAAACTTTTTAAGTTCTGAAATAATCTACCACATCTCAGACCTAAGAAATTTCAAGCCATAACATCATCCACAACATGGGTTTCATCAAGTGTTGATTAACTAAAACATAAAGGCAAAAGAAAGCTAAAAACTTATACGCTTGATTTCCACTTCTACATGAATGCCGGCAAAAGGAAACACCATCTACTGTCGTCTCTCTCACTGAGATCATCTCCATCTCCACGATACCCATATTTCTGCTCAACAGCTTCAAATGTCAAGATCAAATACCTTCAAGCTACATATATATATATATATATATATATAAAAGAGTAACAATTATATTAGGAACCATGTTCTTAAAAAATAAGACAGACTATAATCACAGTAATTGCCTTTGAACATCAATAGTAAACTTGAGAAATGCACAATAAAATAGGTTCTAGTACTTGACCCAGTAATAATGAATGTTTGCTTAACTCAATTAACAAACATAAGATAGCATACTGCAAAGGTCAAACCTTTAAGCAAATCAGAAAGTAAACATCAGGAAGATAAGTTTTGCATCTTATAGCCAGAAAATTCATTCTTGGCAAGCAACAGCGCATAAAAAGGAGAAAGGCAACAACCATTAATTCCCTAATCATATATTAAAATGACTCAGCACCTACTTTAAATCTTTTATGATAAGGAAGAAATGCATGTAAAACAAGGGAACTATTATGTTGAACTCAACACAAGTCATAATGAGCACATAGAACATTCCTAATCTAACGAAGATAGCAGAAAAATGAATAAAGACCAACATTACATGAATATTAGCTAGCCTACTGCAACATTTTGAGATCTTCAATGATTTAGATAATGAAATGTACGAGTAACTTTGTTACATATGCATACAAAAACAATTATTACACAATCCCACATGTTCAGAGAAAAAAATTAAAGGATATTTTATTGACAATGCGGTACTCAGATATATGAGTAGAAAACCACAGATAAGGAACTTACTTCTTTCATGAAAAATTGAGACTATACTCCAAGGGAAGAGAAGCGATCAACAAATTCGGGCAATGAACTAAGAATGGCTATGAATTGATGACCACAATACCAACAGTTTGAAGGAGACATCAAAAGAGAATGATGAAACTTTCTGCAGTTACTGATTTTTTTATTATTTTTCTAACATATTGTTTCAGCTATAAGAAGCATCACGTAAGTCACTCTGAGGTAAGCCGTCGCCTCTTCCCATAATCAGCATCTCTAGATCTTGATCGATGCTCCTCCTCCTGTGATAATCGTGACTTGCTGTGAGTCCTTGATGACCGTCCCCTATCCCAATCATCATCATGCTCTGGTTCACGGTCCCTGTACCTATGATTATCTGCATATCTGTCTCTGTCTTCCCTATATCGATCCCTATCCCTGTCCCGATCACGTTCTCTATCACGATCGCGGTCATGATCTCGAGAGCGCTCCCTATCTCTGTCATGCTCCCTATCATGATCTCGACCAATGTCTCTATCATCCCGGTGCCTTCTTTCTGGCCAATCATGGCCATGGCCCATATCCTTCTCCCTAGGCATGTCCCTATCATACCCTGGTTCTCTATCATCACGAAACCTTCTTTCAGATGAACCAGACCACTCCCTTTCTGAAGCTCTATCTTTTTCTTTCATGGGGTTTTGCCAACCTCCTCTATCATGACTAACTTCGCCATATTGATGGTCAGATGCAACTTCCTCCCCATAACTAGACTCTCCAGCTCTCCCACCACCATGCTCATCTCCACCCCATCCTCCCATGCTGGGATCTGACCACATTCCCATATTAGGCCCGTCAACACCACTTGTGGGCAACATGCCCATACCATTCATGGGCATACCTCTTCCAAAAAATGCAGGGTTAACATGAGGAGCCACTCCAGGCAAACCAACTCCTCCAACAGGAGGGAACGAAGGTAAAATCCCTGAAAATGGAGGCGTTAGAGCACCAGGAAAGCCTCCATAACCGCCCATTCTTCCCATGGGTCCACCGAAAACAGGATCAAAACCTTGACCCATCATAGACTGTGGGTGCATGAGAGGAGGCGTCGCACCAATACCCTGTCCAAATCCATTTCCACCATTTCCCATGATACCTCTACCACCCATCCCACCAGCCCTATTCCTCATAGGACCAACTGGCCCTCTATTTCCCATACCCTGAGCATTGCCTCTTCCCCAATTCCCTCTGCCATAACCTCTATTATTTTCCCCACCTTGATAATTCCCTCCAGTTTGAATGTTATTGGCAGCAGTCTTGCCTCCAGCATCATTAGGGCCCCTCCTAGCTTGCGAAAGAGCAGACTGTGCCATCGGTTGATTCCTATTTAATTGAGCCTCTCCCATTTTCTTAACAGTAAATGGTGATGCAAAGGCAACAACACAAGGCCTTCCATTAAACATATGCCCATTCATTCCCTCCTTACAAGATGTGGCTGCGGCTGGATCATAAAATTCAACCTGACAATACCCTTTTGACTTCCCACTTGCTTTCTCATCAAAAAACTTAACTTCCTTCACGGGCCCATACTTGCACAACTCTGACTCCAGTTCAGCATCTGTTGTCCACCAGTGCAAGTCTCCAACAAACAATATCGTCCCACCACCTCCACCACCACTTGCACCAACACCAGGACCACCAACACCCACATTTCCACCCCCATTCCCAATCATAGGACCACTGCCACCACCGCTGCCAGCAACACCATTGACACTCCCAACCCCTACTCCTCCTTGCCTCATAAAACCGTCATTCTCAACACTCCCCACATTCCCTACACTATGTACCTGCTGTCCCCTACCACCTACAACACCTAAACTACTATTATTATTCCCGCTCTGCCCCGCAGCCATCTCACTCAACTTACTTGACTCCTGCGCTAATTCAACCCTAAGCCCAGCCCCACCACCACCAATGCCCACGCTAGGTCCCTTCACATCAACACCAGCACCACCACCTCTAAACCCTTGACTCTCATAAGAAACCCTAGAATCCCCTCTTTCACCACCACCAGCAACCCCAGGAATTGAAACACCAGATTCCAGTGCACCCATTGGTGACCCACCAACTTTCCCACCGCTATTTTTATTTGCACTATTCTTAGTTTCCTCGTTTCTAAACCCTAAAGCTTCGTTTTTTCTTAAAGACTGAAGAAACCCTTCACCAACATTAACATCATTGTAAAGATCTTCATAATCATCATCTTCTTCACCTAAAAAACCCTCATCAGCAACGGCCGAGATCGCTTCGTTTCTATGGAACTGATCCATCTGATCCCCTCCCTCCCCTTCATCCATCTTTTTCCCTCAAAATTTCCAAAAGAAATATATTTATTTTCTCCTTAACTAATTTCAAAGCTTTGAGCTTTTTCTGATTCCTGGAAATAAAAGAAAAAAAAAGTCCTAAATTTAACAAAATTGAATAGAAAATTTGAAATTAGAGAGAGAATTTGGGGCTTTAGTGATCTTACCAGTGTCGTTGAAGTGAGAGACCAAAGAGGGAAAAGAGAGAGTAGGAAGCGAAACCCTAATCCTGAAAGTTTGTGAAATTGCATGGAACTTTTTTTTTATTTTTTTCTGGAATTTCTGTTTTACTAATGGTAGAACGCTTACATGCACATCAGTGCATATTTGCGCCTTTTTTAATTATTAATTTACCCTTCACCCCAATATCTTTATATATTTTTTTACCAAATAAAATATTAATACATTATTTTTTTTTAATTCGTAATTTTTAAATATTAATTTTAATATCATATTAACGGATTAAAAAAAATCCATTGCGCTGTTATTTTGATTTCGTAGTATTTCATGTCATCCAGTTGTATTAGATTTTGATGCAAATTTTCATTTTTGTCAAAAAATTATTAAAAATATTCTTTTTTCATAACTTTTTAAGCTTCAGTTAGTTGATTTTTTTTTTTTTTTTACTTTTGTTCTTTACTTCTTATTTTCAATTTATTTTTTATTAAAAAATAAATACATAAATCAACCAACTAAAGTCTAATACAAGAATCAAATAAATAGTAAAAAAAAATTTTTGTGGTCTCGGCAAAAAAATAAAATATTGTGGAAAAAAATACATGAATCAAATAAAGTTTTAATCATTATTTAATTAAATTCGGCGTCTCTATGAATTGTTTTTTTTTTAACAATCGACTGAGGGTCAGAATTTAATTAAAAATATTTTTCCTCAAAATTAAAAAAAAAAAAAAACTTTGTACTAGAATCGAACTAAACCTAGCCCACTGACACCATTGGGTTCAGCTGTTATTAAGACAACTAATGGCCTCACATTATTATTATTATTATGATTATAAAATTTGAAAAAAAAAAAAAAAAACTCGTTCACATCTTTGACTTTTTTTTTAAGTGCAATAAATTTATTAGATGTTATTTTTTAATAAATTAAAAAATTTAAATTTAAATATTAAATTTATTTTATATTATTTTTAAAATATTTTTATTAATTAATTAAATTAAATTTCAAACTCACATCTTTGATATCTTTTGCCTTCTATTCCCTTTTATTTTTGTTAAATATTGAAAATAAAACTAACTAATAATGACTAATGAGAAATGTCAAAGAAATCAATAATTTTTTTTGCAATTTTTTTTATCGTAAGCAACAATATATAATAATAATTTTTACAATCTTAAAGACAAAATTTTTTATATTTTTGAGGACTAATTTTCTTCGGTCTATTTAATATTTTCCTCCATCAAATGTGAGTATTCGCACAAAAATTTTGTAATAGATTTGATGATTTATATATTTATATAATGTAAAATATTAAAATTTATAGATTTATATTATATTTTATATAAAAATTATATGTTACAATTCATATCGATACAAAAATATAAAATATAATTATTTAATTTGTTAAACTTATATATATTATTGTTAAATTTTTAAATCATATATTTTCATATCTTTTTTTTTTGCATCATATTACGGTATCTTATTTTAAATTATTAGATTTACTTTATAATTTGCTTCACTAGCTCCATGCTCCCAATTACCATATACTTCATAATTGGACCGCGAAATTATCAATATGACAATAAGATGTAGCCAATTTTATGTTAGATTAAACTAGTTAATCTTAATATTTATATAATTTATTTCTTTATTTTTAAATTATTATTTTCATGTTATGGTTTTTTATTAAAAAATAATTAATCCTTGATTTTACTAATACTATTCCAAACATGGAATAAATAATAACATTAATAATAATGAATCAACCCCACATTAATGTTAATCAAGCTGCTTTTATAGTACTAATTTGTAATTCTCTCACAACGTTCCAAAATTAATTAAAAAAAACTTTATGGTTTCAAATATAAATTTATTCTTTTAGTTAAAATGAGTTGTTTATCAGTTTACGTGATAATGTGATACTTCTTCAGTCTCGTCCCTACCTTTGTTTTATCATGCATATATAATTACATATAATAATCAATCCAACGATTAAAATAATAGTAGTAAAAAATAAAAATGCAAGTCTATTTGTCCGTACTGTAATTTGATCGGCCGCCAATGGTGATGAGGCCAAGGGAGAAGCTGCCATTGATGATGTGAATCAAAGTGGTTCATTCCAATTACTTTAAGACAAATAATAAAAAAAAAAAAGACAAAACCAAATTTTATGTTCTATTTTCGTGCCATCATACCCTATTCACTTATACTATTTATTTGATTAAAACTCTTCTAATTTTTCTTTTTAGGTCAAATTATACTAAAGGTTTTTGTACTTTACTAAAATTTAAAATTTAATTCATGTATTATAATTAATATTAATTTAATCTTTATTGATTTAATAATTTTATTTTAATCCCTAATTTTGTTAATTTTTTATTATTAAAAATATTTACGTAACCGTTAACTTAATAATATATATATTGATTTTCCTGACATAACAATTTAATAGATAAAATTAATTATCAAATTGTGTAAATATAATTTTTATATTTATATAAAATTTAAATTTTAATATCTCTAATATAATTTTATAAAAATATTGTAATCGTATAAGTTGAATTTGATAATATTGATTCAATTATTAATAAAAATCATATATATTTTTTTATTTTTTTGACTTTTTAAAAAAATCAAAAGATATTATTTTTTTTAAAATTAATATGTTGATTTTTTAGAATTTTTCATATTTTAAAAATATTTTATTTTTTTAACATCACATTTTTTAATTTGATATAATCTGATTTTATTTTTTAAAAATTCAATTTTTGAATTTTTTATAAAATTTTTGTTATATTTAAAAATTTCAATATTTTGTTTATTTTTTAAAATTTCATTTTTTGAAAATTTTGTATTTTTTTCAAAATTTAACATTTCATTTAAACAAAATATTTAATTTTAATATTTTTTTATCTTTCAAAGTTTTTACAAATTTTTTTTATGTTTATTTTTATAAAAATTAATATTTTTTATTTTTTTGTTTTTATGAAGAGTTTATAACTTTAAATTTTTTCTATATTATGTTATTCAATAAAAACAAATTGAAATAAAAAACGTTTCGTACTTTGCTAATGTTTTGTTTTATCTTAGATTTTTATGCTATTCAAGTATATCAAAACAAAATAAATTTTAATGATCATTATCTTTCTTATAATTTATTTATCTATTTAAATATTAAAAAATATAAACATTTAAAAAAAAAAATTAAAAAATATAGAAAATTTTATTTTGATTAAATAAAAGGCTCAAATTTCAAAAAATCAATTTTAATTTAAAAATTTAAATATTAAAAAGTATATTTAATACTTTTAAAAAATCTAAAAATTTCTAAAAATTTTGAAATATTAAAATTTTTTATAAATATATAAAATTTGAATTTAAAAATTTCAAAAAATATTATTTTTTAAAAAGTTAAAAATATTTAAAAATATCAAATTTTAATATTTTTAATATATGAAAAAAAATTACAAAAAAATTCAAAATATTTTTTTTTGAAAACATTGAAATCTTTTTTAAAAGAAGTAAAAAATAAAATTTGATTTAAAAAGGTAAAAAAAATATAATTTTTTTAGTAATTAAATTAACAATATTAAATTCAATTTATATAAAAATAAAGTTTTTATAAAATTATATTAGACACTAGATTTCAAATCTAGTTCCAGTATAAAGACTATTCCTATAATTTAAAAATTAATTTCATTACTTTAAGTTTCTACGTTAATAAAATCAACATAATAAAATTATCAAAAATATCACTATATCAATCATGCAATCAACAAGTGATTGATTTAATCGATTAAAATTTATCTTTTTTAATGAATAAATATTGAGTTCAAATTCTATCAGAGATTATTTTTTGAAATAATCTCTAATTCATAACTTACAATCACCTATTTTATCAAATATAATTCATCTTATCTTAATTTAAAAAATTAAAAAATTTATCTACCTCAAATTTTGTTTCTTACAAAAAAAAAAAACTATATTTATATAAATTACAGTATACAATAAATTCCAAAATTTGGCACGTTTGGCATAAATTGTCATTATTTTTAATATAATTTTAATCTCCGACGTGTACAACTCATTTATTTCAACAGAGTTCATTATCCGCTGAATGCACACCGATATAATGGTAAGACTAAAACACTGGATCGCCTCTCCTTCACGTATAAAAGCCAGCCTTTACTTAAGCAGAAACTTCCTGGAAGAAAAAGAACTGTAAAAATTATTTAAAAAAAAAAAAAGGCCAGAACAGCTCTCAGCCTTAAAAAATCTTAAAAAAAAAAAAATGGACATTTTGATTTTAATAAGTCTTGTAGAGGAAGATTGAAAGAGAGAAGAAGGCAGAAAGCGCAGAGGAATTTGGTACATGCGAGATACGAAGGACGGAGAACGAAACGCGAGTTTCTCTTCAACTTCTCCGTTTCGATTTCTCAGCTGATTACTTCTTTTTCTTTCTTTTTCTAGTTTTAGTTCCTTTTTTGGCGAACATATATAATATATATTTGTTTCCTGACAATGTCTGACGAGACGGCGTCGTCTTCTGGAATCGTCTTGGAAGGAATTGCTGACGTGGAAGACTACGTCTGGGTGAGTACTTCTTTTGCTTCCCAGGACTGTTTGGATGCTGAGAAAATGTAAGAAAAATAGAATGAAGGGCATGCATTTTGTGTCTAATAAGGAAAGTTTAGTTTTCTTTTTTTTTTTTTTTGGTTGTTAACGACTGAATTTTGGAGAATGTATAAATTGAAAATTTATTTACTATTTTTTTTATTTATAAAAAGGTTGATCCTCTTTTGAGGGCTGAGATAACAATAATATATTTTCTGTTGCGCGATTTTTCTTAATTGAGATAAATTTTATATTTTTATTTCTCACTTTTCTTTTAGAAATTAAAGAGCTAAGAGTGAAAGAAATAATGAACTTTCCATCAGTTTCCTGCATTTCTTGGAGGGAAAACAGCTTTATTCATTCCATTTTAGTTTACTTCTTCGAACTTGTTTGTTTTGATTGTGGTTATCTTGAAATTGTTTGGTAGCTGATAACAATGTGGGAAAGGACACAAAATTTAACTGTATTCTTTACTTGTTTTCTCTTTCACCATCTATTTGGTTGCTGAGAATTGCTAGGAAACTAACACAGAATTCAAATTCCATTCCTTAGCTCTATGAATGTACCACTTTTAACTGGAAATGTTTTAGTTTTATTGGTTAATTAAATTTGGTCAAAATAAATAAAAAAGAAAATAAATGATCTATATTGGTTGTAATAGCTGTAATGACTGCAAATCTGCAACCAAAGAAAATGAAAAAGTGATGATCTGTCCCTTTTTAAGTTTTTCTTTGGTTGGCCTAGGAATTTGAGGTTTTAGTTTATGTATGTGTTTTTTTTTTTTTGTAAGTTATGAAAACTCTACTGTAGTTATTGTGCATATTGCTTTGGAGAGTTTGTGATTTTATAACTATATTTGGGAATTTAATGAACATTGATTGAAGTGTAGGCAAATGAAGGAGCGGGATCATTGCCATGGGACCCATATAGTCTTGTTTATGATCATATGGAGAAAGGAAACCGAGCATTCCGAGAGAATCATTTTGAGGAGGTTAAATTTTTCTTTGCATAATGGCTCTCCTAATTTTGATTGCTTACTTACATTTTGTTGATGGTTTAATAGAATTTTTATCCTCTGGCATGGTACTTCCCTGCTGTTAGTTTCTTTGCATTTTAAACTAAGGCATATCACTAGTAAGGCACTTTTATCTCTTTAGTTCTTGAAAATGGAAATACAAACCCAAATAGTTTTAGGGGCTTATTTGGATGGATTATATTGATGTTCATGTAGGGTACAACTCTTTGCTCTGAAATGCCCTAATATTATCTTTCTTGGAAAATTATTATACGGAATTGGAATTGGGATCTGCAAAATGTTTTGATTTGTTATAATTGGCAATTGCCATTTTTCTTATTTGGAGCTCATTCTTTACTGATGTCAAAATTCTGACACATGCATAACTAGGGAAAGGACACTATGGATTGAAGTAGTTGTGGGGTAATTAAAAATGGAAGATAAAAGAGATTAATTGCTTGTAAGCGGTCTTACGATGCTAGATTATCCTTGTGAAAGGTTAGCAAAACCGCATTTTTAAGTGTGTAGTATGTGGTATTTTATCTTACCTGTTAGGGATTAGGATTGGTCTCTATCATATGATAAACTTAAGTTTCATTTATGAATTTTTATTCGATGACCAAGTGTTTAGTAACATAGTGTTCTTCAAATGGTGATCATGATCAGGGTGATCTTGATATAAGATTCTTAGGTAGGAAGAAAAGCAGACAACAGTTTTTTCTTGAGTTTAGCTTCTAAGGTAACTCCACACTTCAAATTCTTTGTAAGTCAACTGGTTTTTGCATGTCACTTTGCTAATGTCTTTAGCTGCAATCATCAAAAGTTACATATTGCTGCTAAAGAAAATGTAGAATTTCTAAATTCTCATAAAGAAAGATTGTTGAAACTGCTTGCACTCAAATCTTTGACTTGGGAGTGATCTAACATGAGAAATATTAGTTTTATAAGAAATATTAGTTTTATGAGAAATACTAGTTTTCTCTTTTTGTTTAGGGGGGGAGAAGGAGAGAGAACATTAGGCCACAGTAAAATATTCACATCTGTTTTACCCAAAAACAAATCATCATTGTAATAAATTATTGAATCTCAAATAGATCTGGTTACATAAGCTGCAGATATGTTAAGTGCCATGGTTTGGCTTCTATCTTTTTTGATGCATTAGATTTCTTGAGTATCATCATTGAGAATTGGTTAAGGTGTGTAAATATTGCAGTGTATGATGTCCAAAGTTCCTAACAAAGTGTGCTCAATGTTGTTTTGCTACTTTTCTCTGTGCCTGTTTCTTCTGATGACCGAAACAACAATGGCGAAGTTTTCATAAGAATTATATGTTTGGTTATTTGTTTATATATATATATATATATATATTGTTCCTTTAGTGACAAATAGCCTTCTTCATTCAGGCAATCAACAATTACTCAAGGGCCAATAACATGAAACCTGGTGATCCTGTTATTCTTGGTAACAGAAGTGCTGCCTACATGAGGTCAGGTTTTGTCAATGTTTATTGTCTTTGTGTTCCTGAAATGCATGCATAAATGGATACAACATACACACATATGCATGTATGTACTTTTTGCTTTTCTTTTTATTCACATATTCATTTGGCATTCTTTGAAGAACTTCTGTACTATCAGTCAATTATGATGGGGGATGCGGCAATTCTTATGCAGGATTAGTCAATTTCTGAAACGTAGATCTCCAACAGCTTCTGAATATAGGCCATTGAATGGACTGGACATGACAACACTTGCTGGAGTATGTCTGTTGCTTTACTCCTTAAATAGCCCAGAAAAACATTTTGTAAATTGAATTTTATCACCATTACAGACATTCTGAAAGAGTGAAACTTTTTGACATGTATTTCAGCTTGCTCTTAAGGATGCGGAGAGGCTAATGAGCTTGCAGAATAATGCAGCAAGATCCTACATCTTAAAGGCCAATGCTCTCATCTTGGTAAGTGATGGATTGCATTGTTTGCTTTTTTTTAACAAGATATATAAGAAGGGGTCCAAGCTAAAAGTCCTATGGGCCTCTATCTACATGTCATTATGCTTAATGCACATGTATATGTCCATGCCGACTTGGTTGCAGTTGGAAAGATATGAGATGGCACGGGATATTATTCTTTCTGGTCTTCAACTTGATCCCTTCAGGTAGTTTATGATATATTCCAATTTGACATCCATTGACTAGAAATTTTGCAATCTTAATGATTCTTTTTTCCTGGTAATACATAGTGACATTCTCCGGGCCTCTCTTCAGAGTTTGGAGAGAATGCCGTCCAGTTTGATGCGGACTAGAGGCCATGAGGTGCTGGAACATACTGATGACTTTGATTGCACTCTTTGTCTGAAGTTTCTATATGAACCTGTAACAACACCTTGTGGGCATTCCTTTTGTCGGTCATGTTTATTTCAGACAATGGATCGTAGTGAGTATCTGCGGTTGTTGATTCCTATTCTAATAGTACCTTTCATCACCATAATATTATCTGACCTTGTGCTAAAATAACAGGCAATAAATGTCCATTGTGCCGAACAGTGCTCTTCATTGGTCCTAGAACATGTGCAGTAAGGTAAGCTTTCTCATCTGCGGTTATTAATTGAAGTGCTTTTGTTAGGATAATGTGAAGGAATCACAATCTCCAACCTCAGCTGTTTGCACTAGCTTATGGAATTAGTTGGGAAGCAACCATTCATGGCTTCCACATAGGAGATACCATAGGCTGATAATGACTGGTTTATCATTGCCCTTGAACTTGGAGACTGTTGTTCTTGTTGTTCTCGAGGACCACAATGATAGAAGTTACAAATCTTAAGGTCCCACTTGATTCATTTGGTATGTGAAAAATCATTTTCTGGACCTTTTAATACATAAGTACTGGGCATATCGGCTTATGGTCTATGCTTACTGAGCATGGAAATTGTTTTCTATCTGAACTTTTTACATTCTGCTAAAAGCTAATCTGCTGTTTCCTTCTTTGAAAGGTTTCAATACAGCTTTATAATGGTTTTCTGTTTTATTGACTATTATTAATAACATTACTTGTTTGATAGTGTAACACTAAACAACATCATACAAAAAAACTTCCCAGAAGAATATGCTGAAAGGAAGTCAGAGCATGACAGGCTGATCAATTTTGGTAATGATCTGATACCTCTTTTCGTCATGGATGTTGTCATCCCTTGCCAGAAGTTTCCACTCCACATATTTGAACCCCGGTACAGACTTATGGTGAGTTTCATACATTCTCTAATCATAATAACATTGTATAATATGATAAGTCTGAAAAATGGGTATATTGTGGTTGTTTTTACATCCAAAACTATTTTGGCAATACAAATTTTGTGGCTTCTTACTATGCTTATGAGCCTTTTGGCAGAGTTGCTCTTGTTCTAAATTCAAGTTGGGTTGAGTTTGCCTAGCAAAGCTCTGTCTATGTCACTATTATTCCTTCTTTCCTTTTAACATATCTTGGCAATCTTATATATATATATATAAAATTTCTGAACATAAAATCTTAGAAGAATCATTCTGTCAGAAATTAGTTGATCTTTAATTTGGCAAGGCTGACAGCCTAGTTAGCCCGGTAGCGGTTTCTCAATGATTAATTAATTGGTCTGTTTTCCTGTTTGATTGTCGAGGCAAGCAATAGCCTTCCTTCTAAGTAGATGCTCAACTTTGTAATGCATTATGAGATGTATGCATGCTGTTGATAGCTGAACTCTAGGTTAGTAATTGTCAGTCTCATGGTCATATTTTAGGTGCATCATATGTTGAAGCTGATTACTTCATCTGGCTTAGGGAGATTGCTTTTGATTTTGGATTGTGGAAATGCAAATTGTTAGCTCAGTTTTCGGAATTAAAAGCAGTCTAAGTTGTTCATTTTACCTTTAAAGCTTTCTTCTACATGCATATTTTTTGTCCTTGATCACAAGGATTTACTTTTATTTGCTTGAAAACAGGTGAGGAGAATAATGGAAGGGAATCACAGGATGGGAATGGTTGGCCTTTTCTAACTGGTTCTTGCTTCTTCCTTTTGTCAATGCATGTTGAATGGCCAAAAGTTACTCACTATTTCTGTTTTTGGTTGGTCCATTATATTTGTAGGTCGTCAATGATCCTGCTACAGATTCCATTGCTGATTTTGCTTGTGAAGTGGAGATCACTGAGTAGGTGGCTTGTACTCCCTTTTTTAAAATTTTATTTTAATTAATCCAAACGCTTTGCAACATAGCTTATTTTTTAGAAGATTTTGTTTTTTAACCTTATGATCTTGTCACTTGCTATAAATATGTAGATGTGAGCCACTTGCTGATGGACGCTTTGCTCTAGAGGTGAAACATTATCAACTTTCCTTTGCCTTTCATTCAATGACATTTTTTTTCTGTGTGCACTTAAAGTTATAATATAACTTTATTTATTTACCATTCCTCCATCTCAAAATCTTAGTTCCTTTCGGAAAGGCACAAATTTTAGGAACAAATAATAAAGAGTAATTATTCCTTAAATAAACTAGTAAATTTTAGCTAGGTAATAGATGGGGTTTTAAGTTGCCTACAATATGAGAAATATTGAATAGTAAGTCCTTAAATAAATGCTTATTGAACTTTCATAGTGGACAAATAATATTGGATAGACAAACGAATAATATGAAAGTGTTAATTTTCTTTCTTCTACAAGAGAATATCACTTGAAATCACATGAATTGGATGAGCACAATATATACTAGCTGGTGGTTCAGTTATGATTAATTTGAAAACGAAATCTTACTCTGTTTTTGCGTACTAATAATGGTCATTCTGTTTCTAACTCTTATTTTTGCATACTAATAATGAATTTTTTTTCTTCTTTCTATATGATCCAAGGAGTCTTTATTTATAGAACTTCAACAAGGAGTTTCCTTTCTTAGGAAGTTTTCAGTGCACCACTTTCCTTTTGCTTAATGTAACAATGACCATAGTCAGATTAGTCATTGCACATTTGACAGGATTTAAGTAGGGAATCTTGAAAAACCTGTTGATAGTTTTGGAAAACTGAGTTACTGTTTGTGTTTTCACTAGTAGCAAAATTCTGTAGCCTGTACATCTAGAGCCTTCCCGAAAGGGTGAACTGATTTGATTGCTTCTATTCTGTAGGCTGCTTCAAAGAAGCCGGTTATTTAGATCTCACTTACCTGCAATTATGTTTTGGATTGACTCTTCATGGATATATTCATCGATGAAATGAGTGGAGTTATTGTATATTGCACCTAGCTTTAGAAATTTCTGCAAGACTAAATGCTTCCTATTTTGCGTGTTGGTAAGTCGATGGTCATACCTACAGTCAGTGGCTTGTCTTCTGGAATTGAACTTTCATTTTTTCTAATGCATTACTAGCATAGATTTAGGTATATGAGTAGATCATTAAGCTCTCCTTTTAATTATGAGAAACAGAAAGAAATTTGTGATTTTTCTGTTCAGAAGATTCATCCGATAATATATTTTGTATCTTTCTGATTCTCAAGTTTATTAAGGTAGTAGCTGAACCTGTAATAAAGTAGTAAGGATCCTAGAGAAATTTGTCCATTTCTTTTTGGTGACTGATTGATAATTTGGTCCTGGACAAAACAGTCTCCTCTTCCATGCTTATGTTGGACTCTCATTTTCAGCCTCTTACATAATATGTTCATATTTAATTCTAGCCAAAAAAAAAAAGCATTATTCATATATTTATATAAACTAAATGGCATGCAGATTGAAAGTCGCCGGAGATTTCGCATCATCAGATCTTGGGACCAAGATGGGTTAGTTTTTCTCATCATTGGGTCATGTATATCATATGCTTTTCCTCACAGTTTCGATTATTCATGCCTGCTTGATTTTGCCATGGGACTTCATACTTCTGTAATTTTTGCAGATATCGAATGGCAGAGGTTGAGTGGGTACAAGACATACCACCAACGGATGCGAGAGATAGAGAAGATGTATGATTATCTCTATTCTTGTTCCCCATCTGTTGTATTTTTCCTTATTAATTTCAGAAGGATAAAATGAAGCAATACTTTAAAGTACAGAAGACAATTGACAGCAAGGAGGTGAAATTTGTTTCTTGATAGTTTACTCTTTTTACTAAAGGGCAGCATCTTGGGGAGGAATATTAACACTTTATAACCTCTAAAAGAGGGTAAATTTGTATTTAATAGATGCTTTTTATGTAAGACAGCAGCGTAATGGTTCATCATCTTCTTTTCAGTAGCTCATGCCTCATGGGCGAGACAGCTTTGGTCTTTTGCTTATGCTGGTTGGGCATCTCCGGGGTAGTAGCAGGTTAGGGCTAGGGATGGTGATGCTTTTACAGACAGAAGGAAAGTGATAGATTTAATTTCAATTTCTTCTCCTCTTCTCTCTCTCTCCTCTCCACCCCAGACCCCCCCTTTTTTATTGGGAGGGAAAACTGTAGAAGGCCTTCAGAATGGGTTGGAGTCATGCTTACCAAAGCTTTTAGATATATGGTTTCACACTCTAGTTTTGGTAGATTTGACCAATTTGTTTGGTTAACCTACATGGATTAGTACCTGCTTGATGCCTTTACTATTTTTTTCTTCACTCATAAAAAAATAAATATTTATTTTTATATTGAATTTGTTATTTTTGTATTATAATATGTTTAAGTTTATGTTACCATTAAATGTTGTTAGCCTTGAATATGGCATGATACAAGCATACCCACCTCATGTTATTCATATTGGTTTTTTTTTAAATTTTTTTATATATTCTGTATTTGTCATTTTGTGTAATGTCTTTGATACTTACAGTTGCAGGAGATGACAAATAATGCAGCAGGATATGCTCGGTCATGGTTAAATACTGCAAAAGAATCAACACGAGGTAAAACTCTTTAGTAGGATACTTTGAGAATTAAAAATTATAGCTCATTTTGTCATTCCTCTATCGGTACTTCTGTAATATCGATTCATTTTAAGACAAATTTCTGTGAAATTGCGCTATGGTCTAGTGTCACATTCTCCCCTATTCTCTTGAGGTAGACTGATGTGATTTTATCTTCTTATGTACTAAGATGGGAAAAAGCTGACATGTCCAATCTTTTTTGTCAAACTTAAGGTTTAGGTTATTCTTGCAATGTTTTTACTTTGTTGATAATCCCCTTTCAGATGAGTTTTCCAGTTGTGAGTTGTTTCAGAAGCTAAATATTGCTGAGAAATAGAGTGAATAAAATCTCATGTTTGTTCTTTATTGTAGAGGGAAACAATTGTTATAAACATGGTGATTTTATAGCCTTGAGTTTTCTATAACATGAAGAGTCGAAGGTCTGATGAACTTGTAATGGTTAAAAGACATTTCTTTGTTACTGCAAGTTGATTTGAATCACTGGAATTGAAACCTATTAAATCACATCAAATGTTCATAGTTTTACTTAATGACATGCTACTATAATTCCTGACTTCTGCACAGATCGAAGAAGGCTCGAGATACTCTGTAATATTGAAGTAATGATGCCCAACCCACAAGATCCGGAGCACTTCAGTTTCTGGGTAAAGTTCTTGCTCCCATTATATATGGTTGTGCTCAGTTTAGTTTTTTTTTTTTTTTTAAGTTAATGTCATGAGTAGGCCTTAAACTATGATGAAATATTCAATGTGGTATTTAAACTTTAAAAATCTTTAATATAGCATCTGAATTATGAATTTGATAACTAAAATGCTATTCATCTTTAATGTGACTAATTTCAAATAATGACACATAGCAAACAAACAACTCTCTAAGTAACATATTAGTTAACAAATTTATAATTTAAGTATCACATTAAAGATTTTTAACGTTGTGTATCAAATTGAATATTTCATTATAGTTTAAGGATTATCCATGACATTAACGTTTTTTTTTTTTTTTTATATAATTTAACTTATACCCTCTGCAGCTAGCTACTCTGTCAAATCGGAGGCCTTCAGAAAGATTGGAACTCCTCCGAATCAGAGACACAGGAGAGGTATGATTTTCCAGTTACATCTGTTTGCATTTTAAGGCAGGCAACATGCTGTAAAATCTCATCAAGAGCACTCCATTCTCAATTCTCAATTCTCAATTCTTTAATCACCACTTCCTTTTGCAGAGAATAAGACGGGGACTAATATACCTCACAGCAGAAGCACATGGACATGGTTGTAGAGTACAATGATATATGAGTTGTAAATTTTTTATTCATATTTTCCACAATATTCAAGCTTATTTTAATTGATTCAATATTGCTTGTGCCACATAATAAAGATTTTGGATCCCTATTTTTTGTTTTAAAATTAATAGTTGAACCGGATTTTGTAAATTCTAATTTTGATATGCTGATTTTGTAGCAAAGGAATCTAAACCTGTGGAGAATGTCACACTAAAACCATGGCAGCTGCTGTGCCTATTCTGAGGTAAAAGAGAATGAAAGGGTTGAATGGGTGAGCATTGAATGCTGCTCAAATAAAGAAACGCACACGACGGTATGGGCTATCAACTACCCTTTGCCTCCTATCGTTCGTTAGTTAGTTGTCAAAGCTAAGATGGTGAGGCGGTTGGTTTTTAGGGCCCAACGCTGAGCTCGGGATTTGTTATATATACTTATATCCAATCTCCTTTTACCAGGTCTTCTTCTTTCCTCATTCATCAAAAAAAATGAAGATAACTCGTTAACAGGGATTACAGCTTTACACGTCAGTTCCTACATGCTTCCAGCAAACTACCCTTTGGCCTAACTGTCTTCCTACCATAATTTTCTCTCCCTCTTCCCTAGCTTCTGTCATTCACCACCAAAACCCACCATGCCTGCACCACCACCACCATTGTCACCGCCATGTTAGTATTCTGCGGTTTCTGGCAGCTGCCTTGAGCAATGGGGGGAGGTGATCGTAGGTCAGCAAGGCATCTACTGTTTCCTCCCTTTCTTTTCTCTTCATTTTCCTTTACCTCCTTACGTTAAACCTTGCCAACTTTATTTTGGCAAAAGGTTCCGCTCCTGCCCCTTCTGTTGTTTCTTTTCACTAGCTGCATTACGGCCTGCTGATAACTATCTTATTGAGATCGTGGATTTTCTAGCGAAACAAAGCTTGATGATGGACGAATATTCAAGTCAGATTCTCAAACAAGTAGTTACTTATCAACCAGTGAAGATGTGCAAGCGTCAATTGATTCCATTCCCAGCAGTGCCTACTCCAGTTCCACCCTTTCGTCCAAGCAGGATTTGTATAAAACGGCAAGAATTTTCCTTGCTGATTCAACATATACATTTTTCATCTCCAAGCCAGGGAAACATTGGGCTCGTCTATACTTTAACCCGCTTTCTCACCCTCAATATGATCTAAAGACTGCAGTTTTCACTATCCATACAGAGAAGTTTGTCCTTTTACATGACTTCTCTGTAAGTAATGACACTAAGGTGGTTTTTAAGGAATATCTTGTTAATGCCACTGAACATTTCTCCCTCTTTTTCAAGCCCAAGAAGAATTCTTATGCATTCATCAATGCCATGAAGATCGTGGCTATCCCTGATGAACTTCTTTCTGATTCAGCATATTCCGTATCCGAAGGTAACACTGTCAATGGCTTGCTAAATTATTCTCTGGAAGTGTCCTATCGATTGAATATGGGAGGTCCGACCTTAACTCCAAAAAATGATACATTATCAAGGACATGGGTACCTGATACCCCATATAACGTGTTTCCCCAAGGATCAGAAGCCGTGAAAGGTTCTAATATCAAATACCAGCCTGATAAACGGATGACTCAATTGGTTGCTCCAGATTTGGCTTATGAAACTGCAGAAAGGATGACAACTGAGGCGTATGCTCAAACCGTGGATCCGAATTTCAATCTCACTTGGTTGATGAATGTTGATGCAAGCTTTTCCTATCTCATCAGGATGCACTTTTGTGACATTGTAAGCTAGTCCCGCAATGACTTGTACTTCAATGTATATATAAACGGCTAAATGGGGTGTGTCAAGTCCTGATCTCACAGCCAGAGCTGGTGACTTGGCCACTGCATATTACACAGATTTTGTGCTCAATGCCACAGCCATCACAAATGATTCCATCGTGGTTCAAGTTCGTCCAGCATCCAATGATGGTCTAACTAATGCCATCATCTATGGCTTGGAGATCATGAAGTTGAGCAACATAGCTGATAGCTTGGACGGTTTATTTGCTGTTGATGGTTCATACAAGGGGGAATCTAGCAAACTGAAAGTTGTTGCAATTTCAGGGCTTGTCATGGCATTCTTAGCAATGTTCTTCCTTGGAATAGTTTGTATTAGGTGGAAAAAAGGGCCTCATAATTGGCACAAACGAAATAGCTTCTCATCATGGCTTCTACCTATTCATGGTAGCCACACTAGTTTCTTAAGCAGCAAGAGTAGCTCCAGGAAATCTAGCATCTTTGGCTTCAGAAAAAGTAAGAGTGGATACTCCAGTTTGTACTCTAATCAGGGTCTTGGCAGATTCTTCACTTTGAACGAGTTACAAATCGCAACACAAAATTTTGATGAAAAGACAGTGATTGGTGTTGGTGGGTTTGGAAAAGTGTTTCTTGGAGTTCTAGAAGATGGAACCAAGATTGCTATAAAAAGAGGAAACCAGGATCAGAACAAGGCATAAACGAATTCCAGACAGAAATACAAATGCCTTCCAAGCTTAGGCATCGCCATCTTGTATCACTCATAGGGTTCTGTGATAAGGAATCAGAGATGATTCTGGTTTATGAGTACATGGCTGATGGTCCACTTCGCGACCATATCTATGGCTCAAACAAACCAACTTTGTCCTGGAAACAACGGCTTGATATTTGCATTGGTGCAGCTCGAGGATTGCATTATCTCCACACTGGTGCAGCACAAGGAATTATTCACCGCGACGTGAAGACCACTAATATTCTTCCTGATGAGAATTTTGTAGCTAAAGTGTCTGATTTCGGCCTTTCAAAAGCTGCACCTATGGATCAAGGCCATGTTAGCATTGCAGTGAAGAGTAGCTTCGGATATCTTGATCCTGAATACTTCAGGAGCCAACAGCTTACTGAGAAATCTGACGTTTACTCTTTTGGTGTAGTCCTTTTTGAGGTTTTACGCGCAAGGGCAGTTATTTGCCCTGGACTCCCAAGGAAGCAGGTTAGCTTGGCTGAGTGGGCCATGCAGTGGCATAGGAAAGGTATGATTGAAAGATAGCTGACCCAAAAATTGCTGGGAGTATTAGTGAACGATCACTCAAAAAGTCTGCAGAAGCTGCAGAGAAATGTTTAGCAGAATATGGAGTTGATAGACCTAGCATGGGAGATGTGTTATGGAACTTAGATTATTCATTGCAGCTTTAAGAGGCTTCCTCAGAGATTGATCCACCAGAAGATAAGAGTAACCTTATTGTTTTGGAAAAACCAAGTGAAAATGATGACTTCACACCCAACCCTGCGGCTGTTGCTGCTGCTGCCGGTGATGGTTCTGATGTAACAGTTGGCTCTCAGTTAAATTTTCCTCAATGTGGGAAATATCCAGGGAAGGTAAAAAGATCAAACGCGAGTCGGCAGAATTTGAAACCCATTTCACTTTTTAGCAGAGAACAGTTTGTTTCCTGTCTTTCATTTAAGTTCCAAATCCATCACAGTCCTTTCCCCGACTCCTACACTGCTTTTGTTTTTAGAATGTGTTGCGCAGATCCAATCACTTTTTTTTTTCTTTTCCTTTTTCAGTTTCTTTTTTGTACTTTTTTTTTGTCAAGGCTTTTTTTTTCTTTGAAGTATTTTTATCAAGGCTTGTTGAATAGTATTGAAACACAAAAGAATCTTGTGAGCTTCGACTTCAGTAAGTATTTTTATCAAGGCTTTATGTTTTTATGATTTCCTGAAAATTAAATAATTAAAATGGAATTTATACTACTTACCATATCACTATTGTTATTTTTACGTATTTAAAATTTTAAATTAAATTTTGATTATTAAAACTAAAAATTTAATATTTTATCAACTTATACACAAGATTGTTTTGGAGAAATTAATTAATGAGTTTCCTCGACAAATTAAAATGGATTCCTACTGTGATAAGGGATCGTTCCCTTTTGTTGCACCAAAAAAACAATCAGCAATCTGTCTTGTCCCTCAAAGCAACATGTTCATATCAGCTTGTGTTTCAAATTTGAAAAACATTTGCCAACGTTCTTTACCAATTTTCAATGCTATAATACCAACCACAGGTTTTTTTTTTTTCCCCAATAACCAGTGGTTGAATGGTTGAACTCTTTCGCTTTTCTTGTGGGGTAATTTCATTTAATTAAAAATAAGACAAAAAAAAAAGGATCAATCATGCATAACATGCAAACACAAATATATTTTCGGCCATATAGCATAGGTCGTTCTAGCATGACCCACTCTTTGGGCCTAGATGGGTTCTTTCCTCTTATCAGTAATGGTTTTGGAAGGCCATAATTGCTAATCATGGCTGAAACCCAGATTAGCAAGCAAATCAGTGGGAAAGGTTGGTAAACCCATATGGTAACTCATTTGGTTTATTAGATGAGTCCATCGTCAATAGTTGGAAAGCCTTTAAATCCTTAGTGGTGCTCTTGAGATCTGGGACGCCGGAAGGGTGAATGCCCGGGTCCCGGAGCCGCGCGGGTTCGGAGCTTGAGTCTCGACCCGTGACAAGTGGTATCAGAGCCAGCCCTAAACCGTTCGATCCACGCCGAGCGCCTCGAGGGAGGTAGGCAAGGTGGCCGGCCTCCGTGACGAGGGCGTCACGAGGTTGGGTGCGGGAGAATGTCACGGACCTAAGGGGGAGTCCTGAATCCTACATCGAACATAATAGGAGGGTCCCTGGGATATAAAAGGGTTCACACCATCTCTGCCTGAATCCTACATCGAACATAATAGGAGGGTCCCTGAGATATAAAAGGGTTCACACCATCTCTGCCTCGTGAGGCGCCTTTTGTAGGATAAAACCGTGAGGCCAAGGGAGCCAGAGCGGACAATACCTCACAAGGGTGTGAACCGTGGTGAGAAAGCTGATCTGGGACGTCGAAAGGGTGAATGCCCGAGTCTCGAAACCGCGCGGGTTCGGAGCTTAAGTCTCGACCCGTGACATAAAGATTTAAGAGTTAACATACTTTTTGTAATTTTAAGATTTATTTGAATGGATAAGGAGATTGATTTTATTAAAATTGAAAATAAAAATAAAAATGAAAATTGAATCATGCGGTCTATGCATTTGAATTTCATTGGCACAACTTATATAAATTTACATGACAATCTCACTTCAATTGAGTTGTGATAGCATCCAAACCAAACTTTAATTAATGAAAAAAGGATCAAATTTGAGATTAACATGAAAAAATAAAAATAATGTTTTAAAATTTTAATAAAAATTATATATGAATTTGATAAAAAAATTTTATATTTCAAATATATTTAACATAAAATAAATTCTACTTATTCACGAATTGACATATTCTATAGATGTGCAAGTGAGCAATGACCGCGAGTGAGAGCTGAAGCTAAAGTAAGCAAGCTTCACTTTGCACATGGCACATGGAACAGTGCTTTAAGGCAAGCGGTTGAGATGGGATCGGGGGGAACCTTCCTGTCGAACCTCCTCCACCATCACCCACGTGGCATGTCCATAACGACACTACTCTCTTCGCCCACCATTTTTTTTTTTTTCTCCTCTTGATTGGATCCTCGAAATCAACGCGTTGAAGCTAGCTGTGCTATGCAAAATCAGCCGCA